GGAAGGATAAAAATGAGCTGGAGTGCAAGAAAACGCACTCTGCAAATTGGATAGAAACCCTCAGGTGAAGTGCAAGTTTGGCATGGAGGTCAACCTCGCTGGGTAACTGTGGGAGTCGAGAGCCCTAAAACGGGGTGTCCTCACCGCATCAGCAATAGGTTTTCCAGACAACTTGAGGCCTCTGTAATGTCCTCACCTGGAACCAAACTAACCTCCCAACGAAGTGGAATCAGACTGTCATCCTAGTTTTAGGCCTGATACGTGTAGCTTTTGTTTGGAACTTTCAGGCACTGAAGCTCCTTGAAGAGCTAGTGGCTAGTGGCTTTCAGAGAGGAACTTAGTTCGATGACTTGCGTCCTGAGTAAAGGGCGAGGGAAATGATGCAGAAAAGCCTCCTTGCATCCCCTTGCTCTGGTGTCCCCAAGTGGCGAGCCCACATCAATCCTAAGGGAACATCAATCCCATTGTGTTTGCACCGTGCTTTGCATTTCACAGTGTGTTTCCACGCTCTCGTCACGTTAAGAACAAAATTTATAGATGGTTCGTGAGTTCCTGTCGCCCCTGGAACCTGGCTACCTTCTAAAAGGAAGATCCTAGTTTGATTTTTGGCCAAGACAGGAGTTCATGTTCTCGAAATCTAACCAATGCAAATATGTTTCCTTTCCCCCTTCTTACTTTTCCATCTGAGTCAAAACTGCGGGTCACGTGTTTTCCTGAGCCTGTCCAGTGCAAACATTACTGTAATTGGCTTTTGTATACTTCTTGGTATTATTTACTAATGATTTAAGAAAAGAGGAAGACGATCACAAACAGAGAAACCACGTTGCCTAAACAGAGAAGTGAGGAAGAGGGACGAGAAGGGAGAGGGAGAAGGAGAGGTAGGGAAGAGAGTGAGACGAAGAGAGAGAGATGTAAGATGTCCAGTGGTTTTATGGGAGACGACCTGCTCTGACAGGATAGGCATGAAGCAGTTTTGATAGAAATTATGCTATAAAAGATTGCTGTCCATAATTTATACATATCACTTTATTTGATGTATAGATTTTTATCAAGCATATATATATATTTTTTTCCTGAAGTCATTTGGAACGCTAGTTTTGCCTGAAGTTACATACCAAAGAAAACCTTGTGCTTAAAAAAAATATGTGCAGGGGCTTCCCTGGTGGCGCAGTGGTTGGGACTCTGCCTGCTAGTGCAGGGGACACGGGTTCGAGCCCTGTTCCGGGCAGATCCCACATGCCGCGGAGGAACTGGGCCCATGCGCCACAACTACTGGTCCTGCGCTCTGGAGCCTGTGAGCCACAACTACTGAGCCTGAGTGCCACAACTATTGAAGCCTACGCAGCCTGGAGCCCGTGCTCTTCTGCAGCAACAGAGGCCACCCAATGAGAAGCCCGAGAACCGCAACGAAGAGTGGCCCCCCGCTCACCGCAACTAGAGAAAAGCCCGCGCGCAGAAACAAAGACTCAAGGCAGCCAAAAATAAAAATAAATAAATAAAATTAAATATATATATATATGCAAAACAGAAAGTAATTAGTGATGCATTTGAACCAAAATTATTTATCAACAGGAGTTTGTTTTAGGGTAACAGGGAACAAGGACTGGACACAGCTGCAACTTTTACTGCACTGAAAAAAAGTTTAAACATATCAGAATAGATCTCAGTAAAGGAAGAGCCAGGGTTGAGTTGTAAGAAACACAAAGTAGTCTAGTTATTATTTTAGGCCGAAACTGGAAACAACACAAATGTCCATCTACAGTAGAAAAGACATATTGAGAGGTTTTCCCAATGTAATACCACACCACGAGAGTGAATGAATTACAAGTACACACAACCACATGGACTAAATCTCACTAACTAATATTGAGTGGAAAAAGCCAGACAAAAAACACATATTATAGTCCATTCCAACTTTTGAAAGTTCAAAAACAGGTGAAATTAATGTTCCTTGTACAGCAGAAATCAGCGTAATGATTACCCTTGGTAGGTAGTGACTGGGAGGTCCCACTACCCTTGGAAGGAGTTTCTGAGATTCTGATAATGATTTTGGTTCTCAAATTGGGTGCTGGGTACATGGGTGTGTTTGCTTTGTGTAAATGCATTGGATGGTTCGCTTTCATATGTTTTTTGTGTGTATCTGTTAAGCTGTGGTAAATATTTTTCTTTTAAAAAATTATTCATCAATATGATGCAATACTTTTGCTGCCATTAAAAGGCATTCAACACATGAATATTTATTGATGACATACTAAGATATTCATTATGTATTTTTTGAGTAAAAAAATCTGGTTATTACCAAAATTATGGCCATTGTGCAAAAAGATACATTATTAAGGTAGGGTTGTATCTTAAATTATTAACCTATGCGTTTTCTGTGAATTTCCATCCTTTTCTGTTCTCTATTTGGTAACCTGAGTTAATTAAATGAGTTGATTCAAGTAAAGTACCTAGAGCTAGGAGCCAAGTAAAAACTCAAGAAACTTTGACTTTTATTCACTAGATTATACCTTATATGCAGAGAGTGTTTCTTATTAGTGTTCGGCACATAGTAGGTACTCAATATTTTGCATATACACTAAGGGAGTATCTATATGCTGCTTGCTATGGTTGCTTACTTTTTTTATGTGTACACCCAGTTGCTAAAACTACAAAGAGAAGTCACTGAGGACAGAAATTTTACATATATACGTTTTTTCAATACATATGTATTTCAATTTGTATCGAAAGCCTCGTTTGTATAAGGTGTAGCTGAAAATTTTCCAAACGATCAAACAATGGCTCCTTTTGCTTAACAGTTCTTTTCTCAATTTGTCTCTCTCCTCACATATTTTGCTATAAATAGCACACAGCAACCAGGATGCTGTACCCAACCCAAGTGTAGAACACAATTCAGCCAAGTTCTGCCACTTTACAACAAGAATGAGTTTTCTTCCAGTTTCTAACTACACATCCCTCATTTCCTGCTGAGACCTTAAGAGAAGCACCTTTAACATTTACATATTTTTAAAATTAATACACTTTTTAAAAAGTTTTAGGTTTACAGAAAAAGTCCATATGCTCTCACCACTGCCCCTCCCCCTAGTTTTCCCTATTAACATTCTTGCATTAGTACGGTGCATTTGTTACAACTGATGAGCAAATATTGATAAATTATTATTGACTAAACACCATAGTTTATATTAAGGGTTCACTCTGTGTATCTGACATTCTATGGGGTTTGACAAATGTATAATGACATAGAGTCACCATTACAATATCATACAAAATAATTTCACTGCCCTAAAAATCCCCTGTGCTACAACCATTCATCCCTCCTTCCCTTCCCCAAACCCCTAGCAACCACTGATCTTTGCTGTCTCCATAGTTTTGACTTTTCCAGAATGTTATATAGTTCGAATTGTACAGTATGTAGCCTTTTCACATTAGCTTCTTTCACTCAGCAATTTGCATTTAATGTTCCTTTGTGGAGTTTTTTGGTAGCTTGATTGTTCATTTCTTTTCATTGCTGAATAATATTACATTGTACAGATGTACCGCAGTTTAGCCATTCGCCTACTGAAGAACATCTTGGTTGCTTCCAAGTTTCGGCAATTAGGTTTTCATGTGCGCATGAGTTTTCAACTCATTTAGGTAAATACCAAGGAGTACAACTGCTGGATCATATTGTAGGAGTGTGCTTAGTTTCGAAACTAAGGACTGTCCTGCCAAACTGTCCTCTAAACTAGGACATCTTGCACTCCCACTAGCAGTGAATGAGAGATGCATTCTTTCTTAAACTGAGGAAGTTGTTCATCTCTTTACTAGGGATTCTAGTGTTAAAGATTAAAAGTGGGAGCTTGGGACCAAAGTACTACATTCAAGTCTTAGCTTCCCCATTTATTGGTTATGTCACCTTGGGCAGGTTACTCAACTCATCTGTGCCTTAGTTTCCTTTGTAGTAAAGAAAGAATAATAATGAACAACTTCATTAGATTGTTTTAAGAATTAAATAAGTCAGGTGTAAAGCACTTAGAACACTGTCTGGCACATAGAAAGTGTTAAATGATAGCTGATTTCATGTGGTCTCTCCTTCCTGATGGGCAATCATCCACATGTTGGCTTTCCATCCTCTGTCCTTTATATCTATCTATCACTTTCTTCTATTTCATTCACCTTTTTCTTTTGAACCACGCAGCTTTAAAAGAATATCCTATACATAACTGATTCACTTTTCCATAGCATCTATTCAGTTCTTCTCCAGTACGATTTTAGTTATGTTCCTGCATTTTAAATGCTTGCATGTGTTTTAATCCCTTTTCATATAGTGTTTTTATTTCAGACTGTTCTCTCACAGCTTTCATTCCTGTTTCACTTAGGCCATGTCTTCCTGATTTCCAAGTTTAGTGTTTTGTCAGTCAACAGGCTGAGTGACTTGACCTTAGCCCCACTATACAAATATGGAGATGCACTGAAGCACAGTAAAGTGCTTGGGCCACACATTTAAAAATACAGAAACCTACCTACTTCTGTTGGATTCTTTTCTCCCAAGAACACACCGACAGACTGGCGTTGGGCTCCATTTGAGTCGTGGTTGAGCGTCAATATAATGGGTCACGACCAGAATTTTTTAAACAAAGGGATAGAACACTAAATACAATGCAGGACAGGTAATAAAGGCAAGTTATGCATTGTGAAACAATGCATAAGCGCAAACGCTTGTTTGTGTTTTTAAATTATATATGTGTGTGTAAATGTGTATTCTTAAAATCAGTCCGGTGACACACGCTTGAGAGTCACTGCTCTAACGCATACTTTTACCTGAGACGTGTACGAACAAACGACTAGCGGGGAGAACACTCGTCCCCGCTCCACTGGATTTCATACGTTGGCTTTCTTCTGGGAAATGGAGTTTAGCGTCGTGGAGCACTCTGGGAATCGTAGTCCTATGTGTCCGCGGGGCGCGGTTTAACGCTAGCGAGCGGGTGGGGGGTGGGTGTTCTCTTCTCCCACCAGCGGAAGTGGCCGTTGAAGCCGGCTGTAGGCATGAAAAGAGCTTGGCGAGGGGGAAAGTCCAGCTGCTTCGGCTCCCTTCACTAGGTTTGGTGATTGTCCCAGAGCTTCTGGACCCGGGATCAGAGTGCGAAAATCGCTCTAGCGGGAGGGAAGCCCAGGTATCACTATGGCAACCGCCAGCCCCTCTGGCCGCGTGACGTCACCCCTCTCTCTCTCCGCTTGAAGCGGCCTCTGCGAGAGGGAGCTGGGGAGTCCTCGAAGGGGGCTCCCCTCTCCTCCTTTAGTGTGGGACTATTCCGCCCCGATCCCTGGGAGGGCTTTGTTCTTTTGTTCCGGCCTAGGAGGAAGGACGCGAGCCGAGCCCCGCCCTGTTTGTCCACCTTCCAGCTTTTCCGCTCCGCAACAGGTGTGTCTTCTTGAGCCCGCGGGGGTGTGAACCCACAAGTGTGCACCGAGGTAACCGTCCGAGTAGGTGGGCGCCTCTGCCCAGATTCTAGGGTAGGCGCCAGGGATTTTTGGAATCTGGGGCCGAACCTGCGTACTCGATCTCCATTCTGTTTTTGTTCAGCGGGAGTGCCACATGCCTCTTTACTGTTCTCTCCGGGCACTTCTCTTTTCCAAGGACCTCTTGGCCACTGTGCAAAACTCTTGAGGTGTAATTTTGTGACGGTTGCCGCTGACCCCATCTTGTGTCTTTTAGGGCAGCCAGCTTCACTGTGTGTAAGGGCACAGACTCGTGCCGGACATCTGGGCTCCAGAGAGAGGACCCCACTGGAGGGACGCTGCTTGGGAAACCCTGGTGTGCAGATTTCAAGAGGAACGGGATGAGCACCTGAGATGGAAGGTAGTGGGGACAACTTGGGAGAGAGTGGGATAATGGGGGCGAAAGAACAGCCATGACATGAAGATTAAATACTTGACAGAGCTGGAAGAAGTGGAAGGAGGGAACCTTATATATATGACGATCGAGAAAAGAAACAATTACATCATAGGGAGAGATTCTTATTTACATTATAGGGAGAGACTTGGAGGAAGAGTTAATTCTGCTTGGCTTTGGGATTGGGGAATGAAAAGGAGTAATGATTCAGAACGTCTGTGACCCTCACATGATTTCTATTTATTAAAAATTAGAATGATAATCTTACAGTCAGAAAAAATCTTGGTAATCATCTCTTCAATGTAAGAATCAGTTCTGAAATATCCTTGGCGGATGACCATCTGTTAAGCCTATGCCTGAACAATTGTGGCATTAAGCTCCATTTTGGGTGCAGACTATTCCCTTGTTGGTGTTTTCTTTTTTTAGTTCCTTATATGAGGCAGAATTGCCTTTCCCTGTAACTTCTGTGTTGATCTTAGTTCTTAGTCCCCAAAAGCAAGAGACTGCTCTCTCTTTAACATTGCTGCCCTTCAGATATGTGAATTCAGCTGTTACAACTCCTACTCACAGATTCTTTTTCTTCTCAAAGCAAAATAGCCTCAGTTCCTTTGATGGGTCTCTATGCGATATATCTAGACCTCTTCTCTAAAAACTCTACTGCATGATGGCATGCTTCTTAAAATGCATTGCCTAAAACTAAACAGTCATTTAGATGTACTTTGAAAAATACCTTAAAGTGTGACGTACTATTTCTTTTGATTTGGATATTTCTGCTGTTTAGTATCAGATTGTATTTGCTTTTTAAAATCAGCAATATTATGCTGTTAGTCCTAGATCTTTTTTACATAAACTGCCGTGAACTAGATTTATGTCATCCTTGTATAATAGACTTGTTTTTTATCCTTAATGTCAGGACTTCACATTTATTATGATTGTTCACATTTTTTGGCCAAGTGTTCCAGCTTGTCAGAATAATTAATAATTAATATTAACTTGGTTATTCAGTGTTTTAACTGTTCTTTCCAACTTTATGTCACTAGCATATTTAATGAATATTCCCTCTCTTTCTTCCTATATGTCATTCAGCAGGTCAGGGTAAGGACAGAGCCCTGTGATATGTCACTGTAGACTTCTTTCTGCATTGTCATTGTCTTTACATTCTGTAGGTATGGCTATGCAGTCAGGTTTGGTTTAACCTAGCTGCTATCATACAGTCCTTTTTCTCGGATTTGTTTAATATCATTAGAAATCTTAACATTATTTATTTAGGTTTGAGCTATACCTTATATTCATCCTCAGCTCTTTTTTTCTAAAGATACAAAGAATCTCTGTTTTATTTCTCACAACTGCATGTGTATATACAATTATCTCAAAACAAAAAGTTTGATGAAAAAATCAACTGTTTCATTCTATCACCAATGAACAATTGGAAATTGTAATAAAAATAATAATTCCATTTATATTAGCATCCAAAATATGAAACAAGAATATAAACCAACAAAAATATGCAAGATCTCTACACTGAAAGCTACAAAATTTTGCTGAGAAGTTTTTGCCAGCTTTATTGAGATATAATTGACCCTGACATTGTGTAAGTTTAAGTTGTCCAGTGTTATGATTTGACCCACCTATATATTGCAAAATGATTACCATAATAAAATTAGTTAACCACATTGGTCACCACACATATTTGGTGGGGTGTGTGTGTGATGAGAATGTTTAAGATTTATTCTCTTAGCAACTTGCAAGTGTATAATACCGTATTGTTAACAATAATTACCATACTGTACATTAGATCTCCAGAACTTATTTGTAAATTAAAGTTTGTATCCTTTATCCAAAATCTCCCCATTTCCCCCACCCTCCAGCCCCTGAAAACCCTCATTCTACTCTTTGTTTCTGTGTTCGGACCTTTTAGATTCCACATATGAGATCATGCAGTATTTGTCTTCCTCTTTCTTATTTCACTTAGCATAATGCCTTCAGAGTCCATCCATGTTATCCCAAATGACAGGATTTCCTTCCGTTTTATGACTGAATAATATTGCATTATATATGTGTATGTGTGTGTACATTCCCACTGTTTGTGGGAATGTAAATTGGTTTACCCACTATAAAAAACAATATGGAGATTCCTTAAGAAATCAAAACTAGAACTACCATATGATTCAGCAATCCCACTTCTGGGTATGTATCCCAGGGAAGTGAAATCACTATCTCAGATATCTGCACCTCCATGTTCATTGCAGCATTATTTACAAGAGCCAAGACATGAAAGCAACCTAAGTGTCCATCAGTGGATGAATGGATAAAGAAAATGTGGTATATATTTATATTTCCATAGTGGCTATACCAATTTACATTCCCACCAACAGTGGACAAAGGTTCCTTTTTCTCCACATGCTCACCAACACTTATCTCTTGTCTTTTTGGTAATATTCATTCTAACAGGTCTGAGGTGATATCTCATTGTGGTTTTGATTTGCATTTCCCTGATGATTAGTGATATCAAGGACCTTTTCATATACACTGGCCATTTGTATGTCTTCCTTGGAAAAATATCTATTCAGGTTCTCTGCCCATTTTTAAACTGAATTATTTGTTTTTATGCCGTTGAGTTGTATGAGTTCCTTATACACTTTGGATATTAACCTCTTATCAGATATATGATTTGCAAATATTTTCTCCCATTCCATAGCTTATCTTTTCATTCTGTTGATGCTTTCTTTAGCTGTGAAGAAGGTTTTTCGTTTGATGTAGTCCCATTTGTTGCTTTTTCCTTTTGTTGCTTGTGTTTTTTTGGTGTCATATTGAAAAGATCATTGCCAAGACCGATGTCAAGTAGCTTTTTCCTCCTGTTTTCTAGAAGTTTTACAGTTTTAGGTCTTGTTTAAATCTTTAATCCATTTCAAGTTAATTTTCATGATTGGTGTAAGATAGGGATTCTGTTTCCTTCTTTTGTATGTGATTATCCAGTTTTCCCACCACCATTTGTTGAAGAGACTGTCCTTTCCCCATTAAGTATTTTTGGTCCCTTGTCAAATATTAGTTGATCATATATAGGAGACTTTATTTCTGGGCTCTCAATTCTGTTCCATTGGTATTTGTGTCTATTTTATGACAGTACCATATTGTTTTGATTGCTGTAGCTTTATAATGTAGTTTGATGCCTCCAGCTTTGTTTTTCTTTGTCAGGATTGCTTTGGCTTTTAGGGGTCTTTTTCGATTCCATACAAATTTTAGAATTTTTTTTCTATTTCTGTGAAAAATGCCATTGGAATTTTGATAGGGATTACATTTAATCTATAGATGACTTTGAGTAGTATGGACAGTTTAACAATAGAAATTCTTCTCATCCATGAACACAGGATGTCTTTCCATTTATTTGTGCCTTCTTCAAATTCTTTCATCAATGACTTATAGTTTTCATTCCACAGATCTTTCATCTCCTTGGTGAAAGTTATTTCTAAGTCTTTTATTGTTTTTGATGCTGTTCTAAATGGGATTATTTTCTTTATTTCTTTTGCAGATATTTCCTTTTTAGTGTATAGAAACACCACTGATGAAATCACCTCCTCCTGTCTTTACTGATTGGCTTTGGGAGAGAAATATCCTCCATCAGCAATTCTGTTAGGGATTCTGAGGCTTTCTTAGATCTTCTATGCATACATCTGCTCCATGCTTTTTGTTCCCTCTTGAGGGGGATTCTTAAGATTGTATACCTTCTCTTAATCCTGCAAAGCCAGGCTGGGTGCTAACAGCTTCACCTTTGCTTTTCCTTGGTGGTGCTAATGCTCAGATGCTTTTGGTAGCTTTCTCCAAATCATGCAGAGGTCAGGCTGGCTTTCTGTGTGTGTTCATAGCTATCTATAAAAGCTCCTCTTGCCACCATTAGGGTGTGTAAAGAGAGCTGGCCATAGGTTGTGGGGAGGGTGTATAGGGGAGGTGCATGGAGCATTGCAGTTGGGAGGATCCACAAGTGAAGCATCCCCAGTGGCTCTTTGTCAGGCTTCCTGATTGAGTCTGTGAAGTGGTTAGTAGGATCCATGTTGCTTTGATATACCCTCCAAGTGCCGTGACTGCTGTTCTCCCAGCTGCTCTCTTCCCCTCATTCTCTTAGGACACCTCAGTATTCTGGATGAGGTGAGAAAGAAGTGGGTATCTTTGGTGGTGTCCCATACTGCTGGGGAACCTGGGCACTCACATGCTTTCACTTTTTCCCATGAGAGAAATCACAGGCCAAGAAGGCCGCCTTGGCACTGAGCTGTACCTCCTTGGGGGTGATGCTGGTAAAATGAAACTGTTCCTCTTACCCTCTTCAATGCATCCATCTTGGATTTTTTTTTGTTGTTGTTCCAGTGGTGTGCTGGAACTTCTGTGCTAGACTCCTGGACTTCCACAAAGACACTCTCAACCATGGATGATTGTCTAAATCAGTGTTTTTTGTGGGGAAGATGGTAGAAAATTCTTATTCCACCATGTTGATGACATCACTTCTCCCCTTCTCAGCTCTTTGTCCCTTATATCTTTCATAAATATTCTTTTTAATTCTAACTTCCTCAGAATTAAATCAGCCCAAATGGTTTCATTTTAAGGCTTTGTCTTTTTTTTCTTTTTGGGATTTTTCACGATTGTATAGTTAGGATTAACTTTCATGAGCCTCTGTCCCTTATAGTCATGGTAATATTTGTAACACTTACTAAGCATTTACTATTGCCAGGCACTTAGTTGGTTTCTATAGCTGTTACTGTTGTTGGTTTTGTTGGTTTCTGTTACTTGGAATCAAAATCATCTTACCTAAGACATTTCTCTTTATTCTATTTTCCTAAAGTCTTGGGTACATATCTGCCTATGTACAACATTTCCTCAACTTTCCTCCAACTAACATCTTCATTTTCTTCTCAAGATTTCTTTTACAAGACAGTTTTCCATTACTGGTCAAATTAAGTCTGGAATAATAGTTCCTTTTATTGCTTCCTCTACTTTCTGAGAATCGGACTTTCCCGTCAACCATTACTCTGAATAGACTTCCCTAAGAGCAAAGTTTGTTTCTGTTTTGTTTATTGATGTGTAAGTTACTACATTAAGTGCACAGATCTTAAGCGTACCAGTTGATTAATTTTTATATATTATATGCCAGTGTAACCACTACCCACACTAAGATATGGAATGTTTCTAATGCCCCAGAGGTCTCTCTTGTGTGCTTGCTCAGTCAGTAACCCTCCAGAGGTAACCACTAGTCTAAGTTTTTGTACTTAATATACAGGCACACCTCAGAGATATTGTGGGTTCAGTTCCAACCACTGCAGTAAATCAGATATTGAAATAAACTGAATCTCATGAATTTCTTGGTTTCCCAGCGCATATAAAAGTTATGTTTACACTATTCTGTAGTCTATTAATTGTGCAATAGTACTAAGTGTAAAAAAAAAAGTATATACCTTAATCTAAAACTATATGTTATTGCTAAAAAATGCTAAACATCTTCTGAGCCTTCAGCAGTTTATAGTGGTAGCATCAAAAATTACTGATCATAGATCACCATTACAAATATAGTAATAATAAAAAGTTTGAAATATTGCGAGAATTACCGAAATGTGACACAGAGACATGAAGTGAGCAAATGCTGTTGGAAAAATGGTGCTGATAGCCTTGCTCGACATAGGGTTGCCACAAGCCTTCAATTTGTAAAAAAAAAACATGGTATCTGTGAAGTGCAAATAAAGTGAAGCACAATAAAACGAGGCATGCCTGTAAATGTACTCATACAGTATGCATTCTTTTCTTAAAATATTTATTTATTTATTTATTTATTTTTGGCTCGTTGGGTCTTCATCACTGTGCATGGGCTTTCTTTAGTTGTGGCGAGCAGAGGCTACCCTTTGTTGAGGTGCGCGGGCTTCTCATTGCGGTGGCTTCTCTTGTTGCGGCGCATGGGCATCAGTAGTTGTGGCGTGTGGGCTCTAGAACACAGGCTCAGTAGTTGTAGCCCACGGGCTTAGTTGCTCGGCGGCATGTAGGATCTTCCAGGACCAGGGCTCGAACCCATCTCCCCTGCATTGGCAGGCGGATTCTTAACCACTGCGCCACCAGGAAAGTCCCAGTATGCATTCTTTTGTGTTTGGCTTATTTTGCTCAGTATTGTTTATGAGATACATCCGTGTTGTTAGGTAAAGCAAGAGCTCATTCTTTTACACTGTGGGATAATATTCTATTGTATGACTATATCACAGTTTATCCATTCTGCTGAAAGACATTTGGATTGTTTCTAATCTGGGCATATTATAAATAAACCTGCTATGAACAGTCTTGTACAAGTCTTTTGGTGGACATAACCCCTCATTTCTCTGGATATATGCGCAGGAGTGGGATTGCTGAGTCATAGGGCAGGTGTACGTATAGCTTTGGTATATACTGCCAAACAGTTTTTCTAAATGATTGGTAAATGTTTACTTCCACAGCAATGTACAAAAGTTCTAATCTCTCTGTATTCTTGCCAGTAGTTAGTATTGACCATGTGTATTTAAGTTTAGACACTGTGGTAGGTAGGTAATATAGATAAGTATATGTCGGTGTGATATGTAATTTATACTAATAGCAACGTTTCAAAGGGCATGGGAAGACTTTTGGAAAGTAATCTGATTATTAATTCATATTTTATATGTAGCAGAGAAGGCAGCAGAAATATTTTGCCTCACTTAATGAGGAATGTAGATTGAGTTGTATGATCCATGTGACTGTAAGTATCTAGGGGCAAAGCTGTGAATCTTAAAGTAATGCTTTAATTCCTAAGCCTACCCATGAGAGTATGAGGGTCCTAGTCAGCAGTTACGTTGGTTTTTTTTTTGGATTTTTAGAAGGAAATGGCTTCTCAAATGGCAGAAATAGTTCCTGCTGTTTTCATATAGAAAAATAAGTGGGTTTTGTGGATTGCTGGGAACAGCTAACTTGGACAGGATTCATTGTGGTTTCTTTTTCCTCCCCTAGATCTGTCTTCTCCAGAGTCTGCCCTTCTCCAAGGGGGACATACTTCACTCCCATCAGCTAGTTTTCAGGTAAGTTGGGATTTCCTCAAATGTCATTTCAGTCGTTAGAGTGGGATTGTGTATTCTTTTGCTGTGGGTTATGTTTAGCTGAAAACCAATGTTGGCAGTTCATTCTGGGCTCCCATCTGCCAACCACTTTTTTCTTAGCTCTGCCTCTCCAGCTTAACTAATATATTCACCACTTAACTTCTTGCTTACGTCTTGCCATGTGCCACTGATGAGAGAGCAGAAGAAGTACAAAACTTGATACTTTACCTGAATAGACCAAATAACTGCTAAATATTAAAAAGGTGAAATGAGTACCATGGAAAACAGAGACTCAACAAAAATGTATGTGGTCTGGAGGGGTTAGGAGAGTTTCTGCAGTTCTTGCTTCTTTCCTCTGTAGCTCTCTTCCCTACAGTACTCTGTGTGAACTCTAGTCACCTTGACTTCCCCAAACTCTCAGCATTACCTCTTCAGTTCAAGGAGTCTGCTGGGTCGCTTCTGGGTTCCCCTTCCCTGCACCCCTGCCTGGACACTCTCAAGGTAGTAAGCTGGAGCAGTTGTAGGGCTAACTTCATTTGTTTACTGATTCTTGGGGATCACTGTTCTTTGTTATCTGAGATTCAGTGCCTTGGAAACTGTTGTTTCATATGTTTTGTCTGGAATTTGTTGGTTATTTTAATGCAGGAGGGTAAATTCAGTCCTTGTTAATTCCATCTTGGCCACAGCTTGATCCTTTTGAGGTTTGGTTTTGAACTGTAAGCTTTGTTAGGGCTGACCTAGTGTAGCCTTATTCTAGGACTGTGTCATGGGGTCTGTGACTACACTTTAGTTCAGTGATTTGCTAGGATGACCCACCCAACCCAGCAGCATAACTCAGGGATAGGGATCATTACAACAAAGGATACAAAACGCATCAGAAGGAAAAAGATATTTATAAGAATCCAAAGAAATCAGGTGCAGGCTTCCAAGTCCTCCTTGTGTGATGATCACACAGATGTACTTTCTCTAGAGCTGTTGTCCATAGAGACAGAGAAATGTCTCTACCCAGGGAAGCCTTCTTGAGTCTCACAGTCCAGAGTTCTTAAAGGGAGCTGATCACATACATCAGCGTGTACTTGCTGTTGACCAGCCATGGTGCAGACCTCAAACTAGGCACCACATGTGCATCGTAAATCTTCATGTATACTTTAAACAATGCTGACAGTCTGGTACATCCTGTCCCAGTGCTCCAGGCACACAATAACATCGTCAATCGGTGACTATATAAACATTAGTTTTCAGAGCTTGTTTAAGGTTCAGAAACATGGATCCAAGTGTCCCTGGAGATTAGCAAGGATTGGGCAAGCCGGACTTGCTGCTTTGACTCTTTCCTCACAGGCTAAACTTGTGCTGCTCCTAAAGCGCGCTGGAACTGTTTGTGGGAACTGATTGTGTGTATGTCTTCTTAACTCTGGGTTCAGTTATGTCACATTGGTAACTTGACATGGCCTGTGGAGATAGTATTTACACCAGAGTTTTGGAGCTCCTCCTCTTTGTATCTCCCTTCTCTCTAGTATCTACACTGCAAATTCCCTGCCTCTGTAGTCCTGAGCTGCCACCTTTGTTTCCTTAGTTCAGTGAAACCACTGTGTCTTGCTCAGTTTCTGCCTCCAGGCAGGAAACTGAAGGGTCTGTGGGGCTCATGTGATTGTCTCCCTTCTCTCAGGGATCACAGTTCTGTCTGCTGTTCAAAAATACGAAAGCACTTGTTTCAGTTATATTGTTGAGTTTTACAGTTGTTTACTCTGGGAGAGCTAGTCCAGTAGCTCTGTCGTGGTTAGAAGTAGAAGTCCCAATAATTTATTTATCTATTTTGAAACAAAATTAACTCACTTGCCCAGTTTCAAATACATAATAAATAAAGAAAAAGTAGGAAGTTCCCCTGCATTGCCTCAAGAGTCCCACTAAACAGTCGCACTGATAATATTCGGTAGTGTATTCTTTTAGCTTTTTCTCTGCATTTACATACAAACTTTCCTATTCATAAAAATAAAAATGGGGTAATACCATGTATGCTATTTTTAATATGATATATATTTCCTAATCAGTACATATAGAGACACTTTATTTTTAAAATGTCTACATAAGCTGCTTTAGTATGGATGTACCATGAATTCTTTAACCACTATCCTATTAATAGACATTTAAGTTTGCTTTTTTTTCCCCCTCACAATGTTGCAAGGAAATTTTTACATATGTCTTTGCACCCTGAGGTGTTTCTAAAGAATGAATTCCTACAAGCTATAAATCTGGATTGAATGATATATGTATTTAAAGTTTTGATAGATCCTGGCAGAGTGCCCCCTGATAGATTGCATTAGGGCCCTGTTCCCACCGTAATACACATGAGCACTTTAAGCAGTGTTCACTAATCTGGTATCTCATTGTTTTATTATGTTTTTCTTGGAGTGGAGCATCTTTTCATGGTTTGTTAACAATGGTTTGGGTGAATTGCCTGTTTGGGTTGTCAGCCTTTTTTGGTTATTGTTGTAGGTTGTTCATCTTTTCTGCTAATTAGTTGTAGCAACTCAGAATATTGCATTTTATTTATGGTTTTCTACAGAAGTTTTACATTTTTATGTGGTTTTATGTGTCAGTCTCTCTGTCTTACAATTTTTGCCTTCCACATATCAAGCTTATAAAACTATTTTTCTGTCTTTCATTCTATTTTATTTTTGCTTTTTCTTTAAAATTCAGTCTCTAATCCAGCAGATATTTTTGTGTATGCTGTGAAGTAGGGAACTCACCTTAATTTCTTTTCTCAAATAGACAGTCATTTGTTATGGCACCATTTAGTGAATAATCCCGCTTTTTAAAACTAATTTGAAAGTTGCTTAATCGCATTTAGTTCTTATAAACATGGCTATATTTTGGGTTTCTCATTGAGTTTTATTCCATACTAGACCACTCTGTTCTAATTTATCTTTTCTTTTGGTATATTTTGGTATATTACTTAGTATATTTTGAAATGTGGTAGGGTAAGTCTCCTCCTCAAATTCTTTCAAAAACATTTTTGTTTTTGCACTTCCAGGTAGTAAAACATATTATTGATGTTAATAGGTATACTGTTAATACTCGATATATCTTGGAACACGGAGATCATGGTGATGATGATCATGAAGACCAATAACAACAACAGTGGCCAACATTGACTGAGCACTTGTTATATTCTAGACCTTAAATTAAGCATTTAATATTGAACATTGCTTATTTAATTCTTGCAATAATCCTATGAGTCAGGTTTTGTTTTTATATTCATTTTACGAAGGAGGAAATATCAAAATCATTTTTCAGATAGCCCAGAGCTTGCCTTGCTTCTGTCAGTATTGCTAACTTTACCCCTTTCTGAGGTAAATCCTTTATGGCTAAGCAGAAATATGTTTGGTATTTCAGGAATCAGTGACCTTCAAGGATGTGATAGTGGACTTTACCCAGGAAGAATGGAAACAGCTGGATCCTGTACAGAGAGATTTATTCAGGGATGTGACATTGGAAAATTATACACATCTGGTCTCTATAGGTAAGGATGACTTCTCTGCGTTAATATCTGGGGGTGTGTAGGAGGAGGGTGCTCTTGTGCTTAGGTGAGTTTTGCCATTAAGGAACCAAAGATTCCTAAACTTTGCAAGGTTTTGAAAAGGTTTCTACTCTCTAGCAACTAGAAGGACAAACTAATAATTTTTCTGAACCCAGATCAGTTCCCAAGTTATACCACATCTGGGAATGTATAACATGGAAGCTATATGTGCTTTATATGCTTTACTCCATCTGATTTGTCCATGTATCCTTTCCTCTAAAGACAAAGTGATGAGACTGAACTCTGACACAGCACTTTTCTCTCAGTGCAGACAGGTAACTTTTTTTACCCCTATGAGCAGGACTCCAAGTTTCCAAACCTGATGTGATTTCCCAGTTAGAGCAAGGGACAGAGCCATGGATTGTGGAGCCCAGCATTCCAGTAGGTGCCCTTGGAGGTAAGTAATGGATACCCGGCATATGAGTGTTATTGACACTAACCACCAGCCTGATGAGAGGATTTTACGTCTGAAATGTAGATGTACTTCTCTTTAAAGTGGCTCCTGTGGGAGAATGGGAAGGCATCTGGACTCTCTTTTTTTTTTTTTGCGGTACACGGGCCTCTCACTGTTGTGGCCTCTCCCGTTGTGGAGCACAGGTTCCGGACGCGCAGGCCCAGCGGCCATGGCTCACGGGCCCAGACACTCCGCGGCATGTGGGATCCTCCCGGACCGGGACACGAACCCGTGTCCCCTGCATCAGCAGGCGGACTCTCAACCACTGCACCACCAGGGAAGCCCTGGACTCTCTTATGCTTTGTCAAAACAGTAAATGTCTCAACATGTATTCTATTTTTGTACTCCTTTCAAAGGAGTTATTATCCTTGCTTTATTCTAAAGGCAACTTCTTGACATGGAATCTGGATTCCTCCCTTCCCAACCTCCTTTGGGGCCCTGGTCTCATAATTATTACCCCACTTTTCACCCTTACAGTTTTCTTTTTGGATCTACAGCCTCCACCCCCAGTACCTTCAAACAGAAATAGGTAACCTAAATTCCAAATACTTCCACTCAACACTGTTAATCTTTCTGGCCACCATCCAGTCTGCCTTCTTGCTTTCCCAACCAAACTGTGCAAAAGTGAGTTCCATACCTGTAGCCGTCATTTCTTCATCACCTGTTCCTGTCTTAATCTCACTGTGTAGCTTCTGACCCTATCACTTATTGGACTGCCCTTGAAATTTTGAATAACTTTCTTGTAAACCATCAATTCCCAAACTGCACAGAGAGACTTCTTCAAAGATCTGACCCTGAAAAAATGTACAAACTTAGTCACTCTAGGTAAGGAATATATCTCCAGATTTAATGAGGTAGGAGTAGGGGGTCCTTTTTATGGGGAGAAACAATGCATGCCATGTTCAAATTTAGCAAGTACTGGATTAGCTAAAATTTAGCAGGTTTCTTACTGGAGGACCACTCAGAAATTTTTTTTTTTAATTTGTAGTTGGGAATTATGAATTTCCAACAGAGTGCATAGAATGTAACATTTCTCTCCCCCATCCTCCTAACCGTGATTCCGGTTATTTTTAATATTGCACCTTTAAAATCTTTCTTTTAAAAGATGGTTTCATGGGACTGCCCTTGCAGTCCAGTGGTTAAAACTACTCCCTTCCAATGCAGGGGGGTGTGGATTTGATCCCTGGTCAGGGAACTAAGATCCCACGTGCTGTGCGGTGTGTCCAAAAAAAAAAAGATGGTTTCATGGAACACAATTTAGAAAACTAATTTTTAAAAAATAAGAACTTTATTAACTTGTGCTTATAGTTTGTTAACTTTTGGAAAGTTACACTGAGGTGGCCACTGGCCCTGGGCCTTGTCTGCGTCATTTTCCTATCCTCTTCTTTAGGCTGTCTTGGTGACTTGGCCCCTGCAGAATTGTGATTGTATTCTGATATATATTCTGTCTTACTGGTCTATGTTGTTCTTTTACAACCAGGATGTCAGCACCTTCTATTATCTCTCCATGCACATGGGTGTCTGAATATTGTGGTCAGTGCCCTTCGACTTTGCATATGGTAGTGAGAATTGCTTCCTGCAGTAGGAATGGTGCTGTTCAGTCTGGCCTTCTGGAATTTTCTCCAATCCTTCATTCATTACCCCACCTCTGATATTCTGGTAACTCTTTTGGTTAATACGTGGACAGTATGACAATGTGTATGATATTGGTCACAGTCTGTTGCATGTTTATTGCTTTCAACTGGAACTCCAACTTGAGCTAGAGATCAGTCACTCCCACACTCTTTTTGCCTTTAACAGCATCCGACTCCATGGTCTCCATATCCTTTTCCCTGTGAAGTACTTCCCAGGAGCTATTTTTTATGGCTATCTGCTGTACAAGTATATCCTTACTGTCATTTTTGTTGATGAAAACATATCCATTTCTTATACTGATTGGCTGTTCCCCAAAACTTGTGTTACATTAATCGTCTTGTCCCTGCTGGAGAAGCACTGCTGTTGTGAGGCTGCCTGCACTTCTGCATGCTGATGCATGCTGTACCATTTCCCATGGTACCAGGTATGGAGAGGATGGTAGGCAGCTCTAGGTCCCTGCCTTGCTTCTTATGTTTGCAGTGATAATGGTGGTGACAGTGACTGGGCTGGCAGCACAGGAGATTCAGGGTTTTCTGGGGGTCTGCTGTACCTTCCTGTTACCAGTGGAACCAAAGAAACGCTGTTTTATTTTATTTTATTTTTAATTAATTAATTTATTAAGTTGGCTGCGTTGGGTCTCCACTGCTGCACGCGGGCTTTCTCTAGTTGCGGCGAGTGGGTGCTACTCTTCGTTGTGGTGCACAGGCTTCTCATTGAGATGGCTTCTCTTGTTGTGGAGCACAGGCTCTAGGCACGTGGGCTTCAGTAGTTGTGGCACACGGGCTCAGTAGTTGTGGCTCATGGGCTCTAGAGCACAGGCTCAGTAGTTGTGGCACGTGGGCTCAGTAGCTGTGGTTCATGGGCTTAGTTGCTTCACGGCATGTGGGATCTTCCCAGACCAGGGCTAGAACCCGTGTCCCCTGCATTGGCAGGCGGATTCTTAACCACTGCGCCACCAGGGAAGTCCAAGAAATGCTGTTTTAAACACAGCCTTTTTTTCTTTACTGAATCTGCCAGCGTTGACTACCCTGTCATCTTTCTTGTCTTGGCAAAAGACAAACTATCCCAGAGTAGACAGTAGAGTACTGTAACTCTATGTCCTGATTATATACTTTTCTGGTTCTCGTTTTCTTTTTAACAACTTTGCTTCTGTGTTTCTTATATTCTTTTGTTTGCTTGCTGAAAAACTGCTTTCTTTCATTAGTATATTTTATTCGTCCCATTACCCTAAACATCCTCAAGGATCTTCCTCCATTGCTGCTTTTTTTTCACATACATTCTTATGGCTTTAGCTGTTCTTTTCCTTCTTTTGAGCTGATATTTTCTGTCCTATATTTGAACATTTTAGTTATCCTGCTACTTTTGGCATCTTCCACCCCCACAAACACCATTATAGTCTAGTCTTCCATTTCTCTTCCTAATTCTCAAAATGCCTAGTGTTGAACTCGGTATCTTCCTCCACCTAAATTACTTCCTCTACTGTTTACAACTTTCTCATTTCTAGCAGTGATATGACTATTTTGTCCGTTTTCTAGGCTAAAAATCATGGAGCCATAGTCATGTCTTGTGTTTATCCTGTCTTGAAATCATGGTTCTTAGACTTTTTGTTGCTGTTCACTGGCAAGGAATCCCAGTTCAGACTGCCTCCTTTAGATTCAGTCCATCTCTGTCTCCTCTTATCTATCTCTGTGGTCACTTTCTAAATTTACTATCAACTTAAATGGAGTTCCCTTACTGGTTCTTAGAGATTATCTATGAAGTTGAATTAGACATTTTCTTGCTACTCTCATATTTTATTTCTCGTTCTCCTTAGCTCTTTCCAAATTTCTCCCCAAATAATAGGGCTGTGTTTGAAAATCCTCAGAATTTGCTGAGGGCTTTATTTTTAGTTTCATTAGGTCATTCCCACAATAACACTTTTGTTGTTGTGTTTGTTTTTTTTCCCTCAATTCAGAGAATACTGACATTTTCTCTTTCAGACTGGGAGACAAGACCAGAAAATAGCATATCAGTCTCAGAGCTGGACATTTCTGAAGAAGAGCCATCTCCAGAGGCAATAGTAGAAAAGCACAAAAGGGATGATCCTTGGGGTTCCAATGTCTTAGAAACTGGGAAATCTGAAGGCAGTCCAGAGAGGCAACAGGCAAATGAACAGGCCCTGCCAAGGGAAATAAAAATAACTGACAAGACAGTACCTACTTTGAAGAGAGACCATGTAAATAATGACTTTGAAAAAAGCATCAATGTGAATTCAGACCTTTTAACACAAAAAGAAGTATCTCCAGAAGAGACCTCTACCAAAACAAGCGTCAAACAGAATTTAAAGCCGGTTAAAAAAGAGAAATCTTGTAAGTGCAATGAATGTGGGAAAGCTTTTAGTTATTGTTCAGCTCTTATTCGCCATCAGAGAACACATACTGGAGAGAAACCCTACAAATGTAATGAATGTGAAAAAGCCTTCAGCCGGAGTGAAAACCTTATAAACCATCAAAGAATTCATACTGGAGATAAACCATATAAATGTGATCAGTGTGGAAAAGGCTTCATTGAGGGTCCTTCTCTTACTCAACATCAAAGAATTCACACTGGAGAGAAACCCTATAAGTGTGATGAATGTGGGAAAGCCTTTAGTCAGAGGACCCATCTTGTTCAGCATCAGAGGATTCACACTGGTGAGAAACCATATACTTGTAATGAGTGTGGAAAAGCCTTTAGCCAGAGAGGCCACTTTATGGAACATCAGAAAATTCATACAGGAGAAAAACCTTTTAAATGTGACGAATGTGATAAAACCTTTACCAGGAGCACACACCTTACTCAACATCAAAAAATTCATACTGGAGAGAAAACATATAAATGTAATGAATGTGGGAAGGCTTTCAATGGACCCTCAACATTTATACGTCATCATATGATTCATACTGGTGAAAAACCATATGAATGCAATGAATGTGGGAAAGCCTTCAGTCAGCACTCAAACCTCACTCAACATCAGAAAACACATACTGGGGAGAAACCTTATGATTGTGCTGAATGTGGGAAATCCTTTAGTTACTGGTCATCCCTTGCTCAACATCTAAAAATTCATACTGGAGAAAAACCTTACAAATGCAATGAATGTGGAAAGGCCTTCAGTTATTGCTCATCCCTTACTCAGCATCGGAGAATTCACACCAGAGAAAAGCCCTTTGAATGCAATGAGTGTGGAAAGGCTTTCAGTTATCTCTCAAACCTTAATCAACATCAGAAGACTCATACCCAAGAGAAAGCTTATGAATGTAAGGAATGTGGGAAAGCCTTTATTCGGAGTTCATCTCTTGCTAAACATGAAAGAATTCATACTGGTGAGAAACCCTATCAGTGTCACGAATGTGGGAAAACCTTCAGTTATGGCTCATCCCTTATTCAGCATAGGAAAATACATACTGGAGAAAGACCTTACAAGTGTAATGAATGTGGGCGAGCCTTCAACCAGAACATACACCTTACACAACATAAGAGAATTCACACAGGAGCAAAGCCGTATGAGTGTGCCAAGTGTGGCAAAGCCTTTCGACATTGTTCATCTCTGGCTCAACATCAAAAAACTCACACAGAAGAAAAACCCTACCAGTGTAATAAGTGTGAAAAGGCCTTTAGCCAGAGCTCCCATCTGGCTCAGCATCAACGAATTCACACTGGAGAGAAACCCTATAAATGTAATGAATGTGACAAATCCTTTAGCCGGAGCACTCATCTGACTGAACATCAGAATACTCATACTGGAGAGAAGCCTTACAACTGTAATGAATGCAGGAAGACTTTCAGCCAGAGCACTTACCTCATTCAGCATCAGAGAATTCATTCAGGAGAGAAGCCCTTTGGATGTAATGATTGTGGAAAAGCCTTCAGATATCGTTCTGCTCTCAACAAACATCAGAGACTGCACCCTGGCATATGACTCTTCTAGGAACATCATAAACATAGGGGATGCATTTACTCTAGTTTGTCCTTTTAAGTACAGAAGAATCAGGGTGGATTGAGAAACTGCCAAAAATATTTTTATTTTTCACCGTCATGCTGTGGAATGGAAAGTACATTGGGCTGAAGTAAGCCAATTACGTTGTTAAGCAACTTTGTGACATTGGCAAATTCAGCCATTTTAAGCTTCCGTTTCCTCTGTGAAATGAGGGATTTGGAGTAGGTCATTTCAAAGGTCGTTTGGAGTTTTATATTCGGTTTTGTATATTCACAATATATTCTTGAATAGGATTATTGTACATCAACATTTTGCTATGTTGCATCTAGAATGTATGTATTTATGCATGTTTTGCCAATAGAAAGCATTTATGTTTCAGTAACTAGACTGGAGATCTATCATGCTCCTGTTCTAACACATTTAAGTTCTTTAAGTAACCAATTCCTAATAAAAAGAATTGTAAAGTACCCTCAAATTAATAATTCAGTAATATATAATGGCTTAAGTCAGTAAAAGTATTAAACCTTCCTACTATTTTCTCTCCTAGTATGTTTTAACATTCTAGAAGTTTATCACAACTACATAGATCCTCTACTACAGCTTAAACCTGTGTTATTTAACCCCAGTTACATAGTGGAATCACTTAAGGAACTTTATAAAATTCTGTTGCCAAGACCCCACCCCCAGTGACTGATTGGCCTAGGGAGTGGGATCCTGGCTTCAGTGTCTTTTTTTAAACTCCTAATGTGTACCCTGGAAAGAACAACTGGATTAGATTTCAGTACTCATTTACTTCGTAGCTTCTTGTGACTCCTCCTAGAAGCTCACAGATTAGCTCTTCAGTACACATAATGTACTGAAGGGGATGTACACATAATGTAATTTGGACTGTTACCTTGTTTTATAAATTGGTTTCTCATGAACTTTGAGAGGTAAGGCCAAATTTGTTTCCTTACCAAAGTACAGAAATTAAACGGCTGTATAAAATAATGGTCATTTTACTTGCTTTTCCTTGGCCACCTGATATCACAAGCAGATGACAGTGTGAGTGACACTTCTGAAGATGGGCAGCCCACAGCCTGCATGGCCATTTGTGGCAACCCTGGTCAAGATAACATTTGAGCCAGAAATAAATATGGGTCTAGCCATAAAGAGATGGGCCCTTATATTTTCTCTAGATACAGTCTAATTATCAGGTCTGCTCTTTTAAGAGTAACTGACAATTTCCTAGCCTGGCCTTGAGAGTAGGAGCTCTGAGAACAGGAGGTAGCACAGAAGTTGATCATTATTTATATAAAAGGAGTTCAAGACTCTTCCCACAAAGGAGGTGTGGGGGAGTGCGTGCTGCAGGTTTCTTCAAGTGAAAAAAAAAATTCAGTCATTTTTGCTTATATAAATGCCAGTGACCTGCATCAGAATTTTGTCACCTCCTTAAAGAAGATGCCAGACAGTGAAGAACAGAGTTCAGGAGATAAAGTAGCCATTTAAATCTCAGGACTTTTTTCTGTCGTAGTTTTGAAATATCTATGAAGAAATGTCATCTTGGTATTTTTTAATTTCTCAAGGCTTCCATTATGTAGGAATTTTATTTATCCCATAGCAGAGAGGTGGACACTAGCAGAGAGGAATGGATCTCAGGTTATAGGATATGCTTTGGTTGGAATCTGAGCCACTCCTACAGTATAAGGAAAAGAAGTTTCTGTATCCAGGTGAAGGGTCCTCCTGTTTCAAAGGAGATCCCAAAATAGAGAACACCAGAGTCAGCCTGAAATAGACAAAAAGACTCTTGTCCTTTTGCCACTATGATTCCTATATGAGGGAACAGAATTTATTTGGGAATTTGTCATTAACCATGGAAGATCCTGCTTTGTTCCATTAATTCGATCTATTCATAGATACAGTCAGATCAAATGCAGAGCACCGAGAATGTGTGATCACTATCTGGAGGTTGCTTATTAGTTCCGAGTTCCTTACCAGGACCTCCTGTTTTAAGATAACTCATGCAAGTGGTTACTATAGGGCCTGGCCAGCACGAGCGGTTTCGGTCAGTGGTTCCCCTAACAATATGACAAGAGGAAAGTCAAAGAAGTTTACCTCTCTCTGGATTTGTTTACATCTCAAGAGGATGGTGTGGAGAGGGGAGGGAAAGGGGGACTGATATGAATGACCTCACAGTGTGATGGAACCTGTATTCTAGACCCTGTCTTGGACACACCTCTGCCTCAGTTGGGCTCAGACAGGTGCCTGGGCCATGGATGAACTCACCCTTGCACAGGGTCATTCATCTCGATCTTGGACTACTGAGAAAGCATGAAGGCTCAAGGTCCAGGTCCAAAATATGTATCATTACTGAGGCCTCTGAGCAATGTAGTTCTGAGCAGATTACTTTGGGGCCAGGAGAAATCTGGAACCACAGTTCTGGGAGGCTAATGGCCCAGCATTGCCCAAGAAGACCAGGAAACAAGGAGTGGGTCTATTGGTGAAGGACAGTATTTTCAGGGGCCACTTCTTATTTGGTCCATATTTTTCTTCACTCCACCTCTAGGCAGAGTCCCAGGCAGAAACTAAAGGCCATACTCAAGCAGTTTAATTGAAGAAAATTTAGCCAAGAGAGGGAACCAGCAAAGGACAGTGGAACACTAGCATCTAACAATTGCAGGAAAACATTACCACCCCTGAGCCTGAAAGAGCAAGAGCAAAAGAAGAATGTATTCATTTCCTATGGCTGCTATAATGAATTACCACAAACTTGGTGCCTTAAAACAACAGATTTCTTTTCACAGTTCTGGAGTCCAGAAGTCTGAAATCAGTTTCACTAGGCCAAACTCAAGGTGTTGGCTGGTTCACACTCCTTCTGGAAGTTCTAGGGGAGAATTAGCTTGGTGGCTAAAGCAGTATGTGAATTTAATGAGGATGTTTTTAAATAGGAGAGACATACTAGACTTGTTTAAAGTGATAAGGAAATGAGTCACTAGAAAAGGAGAGATTGAAAAGTGGAAAGAGTGTGAGAGCAAAGTCCTAAAGGAGAAAGAAATGGTGTCTCTGACAATGTTGGGATGGATAGAAGCTAAGTGGTGGGCGTGGAAAGTGTGAAGGACAGAAGGTTGTGCGTGGGGAGCAGATGGCAGGCACCTTGTAAAAGCAGAGGCGGAGGAGGACTTCTGGAACAGGAATTAAAAAGGGAAGGATAAGATTCACCGGTGGGAGAGGAAAAGCACGGGCAGCAGATGCTGCATTACCCACAAGCGCGGGGATTCCTGCCTGCCAAGACCCCAGGGTTCCAGATAAAAGGCAGAATGTTTGCTGGATGATTCATCCACGTGGACATTAATTGATTCAACAAATGTTTACTGAGCAGTTACTCTGTCATGATGTCACTCAGAATGAAATGAGACGTGAAATACAGCAGAAAACTATAAGCCAGATGCCAAAGTCATGTACATAGGAGATCAGGAGGAGACTAAGATGCAGGAGAGCATGACGGTAAAAGGAGTGCTCTGTAAAGAGTTGAGACTTACTTTAGTTTCAGAGGTACTGTGAAAAAACTAGTCAGAAGATGGGTCCCAGGAAAAGGAATCAGTCAGCATCACAGAGATGACAATGGAAGTGAAAATTCTTCATTTGGGCAGTGGTCAAAGGATGACTTGAACATGAGGTTGGAAGGAATTAGCTGGCCACACTGCTCCAAGAGGAATGCTGGTATACATTAAAAAAAAAAAAAACTTATTACAGAAAATTTCAAATAGACACAAAATAGAAAAGTGAACTTCAGTGTATTCTTCACCAAGATTAAACAATAATCAACATTTGCCAGTCTTGTTTAGCAATCCCTCCCTGACTCCCCTTTTATTTATTCCTGGAATACTTTAAAGTTAGACCCAGACATCATTTGTCTCGTCAGTATGTATCTTTTAGCCAGTAGGACTTTTTCTTCCTTTTAAACATAACCATAATATCATTATCACAACTAATAAAATTAACAGTAATTTTTAAAGTTGTTTTGACAACAGCAGACTGAAGCATTTGTTAGGGGTTCTAAATAAAATCACTGGTGTTTAGGAAGCCTGAAAAGAAATGCTTATACAGGGACAGGATTAGTTCTTTGACAGTACCACTAAAAATTATTTTGGAAAATATTAACATGGGGAAATTTCAAGATGAATGTATATAGTAAATCCTTTGTTACGTATAAACTATAACTTTTTGTTATGTATAAACGTGTACACACAATCCATCTCCATATCTAGCATATGCAGATACACAGATCTAAGAAGAAGAAAAAAAGTCTGAAAGAACATTTACTAATATGTCCAGGGATTATCTGAGTGATGGGACCAGTGTTTATTTTTTGCTTTTCATCCCTTTATGCTTTTCAGCGTGTGTGCCTGTGTGTGTGTGTGTCAGGGTGAGGGGTTGGGCGGCAGGGAGAATGTTGAGGAAGGATCGTAGCCTCTTTAACGGAGCTGAATTAATATTTAGCGAAGAAAGTGACTCATCTTCAATCTCACAGCCCACAAATCAGAAAAGCGGATTAATACATAGTAGGCACGGAAAACACATGTTAAATGAATAAAATGTAATGGAAAAGGGTGGAAGCTTCACTCTGGTTTATCAATTTTTTAGAAAAAGAAGTGACAGAGATTCAGGCTAGGAGACCATCCAGAAACGAGGCCCAGTGGTATCGCCACATCACGTTGCGTGGCACCGCCCACCCCGACAGCCTTTAGAATCTTCAGCAGAAAGTCGATGACGTCACATAAGGTTTTCAGTGAGGATGGGAATTGGTCGTAAGACTTCTGGGAAATGGAGTCTGGGCGTTGTGACGACTGCGAGTCTCCGAGGTTTCTGGGAATTGTAGTTCTCAGATGTAGGATCAGCTCTTTGGCCGATCTTGCTTCAGAGCGCCCCCGGGGAAGCGGGAAGATGGCGTCTGGGGTGGTCGCGGGACCCCATCCGGTGGTTCTAGGAGTGGCCATCGCAGCCTTGATGAGGGGAACTGGAGCACACAATGGTCACCATAAAATTCCGGGAGCACAGCCAAAGCGCAGAGCTCTGAGGCTCTTACCCCCGCGGTGGTCTTCGCACTCACGCGCCTCCTTCCCTACCCGGGTTCCCGAGGAATGGCCTAGGCGTCCGGACGTGCAAGGACAGGGACGGCAGCTGGCCTCCGCTGGAGCCACCTGCAGGGCTCGCAGAAGAGGGCCCACGCTGAGCGCCTAGATGTGGGCTCCGTGCAAGGACGGAGATTATTTTGAAGACATTGTTCAGTGTGAGCCGAGTCACAGTGCTTTTGGCTGCATTGGAAAACCCTCTGTTTCTCCTTAGAATAAAGCTCCCCACTCCAGATCGCTCTTATCTTCTGACCCAATTTCCCCACCAGAAATCCCAAAAGTGTTTGGTTCCAAATCGACTTTAAAGATGCAAGTTAATCATATCAGGCGTTCAGCTTTTTAATGTTTTGTATTCATGGCTAACTGCTGAGTGTGTATCAGAAATTCCTCCCTCCATACCCTAGGTAGCTTACAGGAAAGTTAACAACAGCAATTAAGGAAGTGCTGGTCTCTCTTCTTCCTTGCCCGTATCTAGTCACCAGTTTCATAGGATCCTTACTTTATACTGTCTCCTCATCTGACCACTGCTCTGTTCCATAATACCACTATTCTAATACTTCAGCTTCTCACCTAGTTTCTGCATGCTGTCTCTCTCATTTCCAAACCACCTTGTCTCCTCTACCAAATTAATCTTCTCCCCGAAACGAAATTTGTATTACCATGATGAAAAACCTCCTGTAATTCCCTCATTGCCTACATGATTAAATCCACACACAAGCTAGTACTCAGGGCAGCCACTGTCTAGTTATCCAATTCCAAATAAACTTTCTTATTTTTATTTCACTGAACTCCCTGCCACAGACAGTCCAGTTCATCTATTGGAACAAACAGAGCATTTTCCTACCTCTATACCTTTACTTACACAGTTCTTTCTTTCCCAGATCTTGCCAGGGCCCAGCTTAAGAGATCCAGTAGTGGGGTCAAATCCTGATCCTTGGGTAAGCTATTTAACATGTGTAAATTTCAGTTTCTTCATCCCATAATGTGGTAAGTTAAGAGACTCAAAAAGAGCTTTTCTTCTGGCACCCAGTAATTACTTGATTATCTCTACCCTCTGCTCCTTCTAACCCCACTCCACCCCAAGAAGAATCTCTATATTTGCCTTTCTGAGACTTCTACTATGAACTAAATATTTATTCACTGGAAAACATACTATATGCTAGGTGTGGTAGAGAACACATAATTTAATTTTAATTTTTTGTTATCAAGCACATTGTATAATTACATGAAGGCCAGTGGAGAAATTCATCTTAACTCTATTAGGCTTTCCTTGAAGAATGGACATTTTCTCCCCTTCCAAATACAATGTAAGCAAATGACCATCTCACTTTCATACCTGAATAACTATCTGGCATACCATAATTTGTCATGATCTTGATCTTCTAGGCATTTTCTTCTTTAATACCGATTTGTATTTTTTCAGTTTTGTATTTTATCATATCTTGTAAGCCGCCTTGAGTCATTTTTGACACACAATAGAGTTATAATAAATAGATGACAATTGTCTGTGATGGCAGAAGAAATATCTTCTTACTTATTTGACTGTGATCCTAGTTTTCCATTCTGTGGAGTTACAGACACTTTAGGGATGAAATGAAAGACTACAGGCAGATATGAAGGAATAGAATCATAACAATTAGCATTTATTGAACACTTACTATATGTCAGGCACTGTTTTCATCACTTTATATGAATAAACCCACATACTCCTTAAAACAGTCTCATGAAGTGGAAAGCCAAGAGGCCAGCATCCCAGGAGCTCTGAAGGAGTCAGTCCCAAGGCTTAATGTATATAATTCAAGGTAGGACAAAAAGGACAAAAATATTTATGAGGTAATCTCACCATTCAAAAGAGTAAAGTGACTGCATTATTAAATTAAACCCTCCTGATTTAGATTAAAACTACAATCCAGGCCTGCATTGTACTATGTATTAGATGGGGCTACTAAGAGATTTAAGACAATTTCTAACTTCGAAAATGTTCATGGAAAAAAGCACCTGACAGAACCAGAAAACAGAATAAGAAAGTATGTAATACGGGAGAATAAGGTAAACCATCACTGTAAAGGACTTCTAAGGGGGGGGGGTGCTGAAATTATCACAGAGGAGGCAGGACCTGACCAGGGCCTTTTATAAAGTATGGATAGATTTCTGGAGATACAGGGAGGAAAGCAGGGTATGTAAAAGGGTGCCACGGAATAGTGTGAAGCGGAGCCAAGTGTGAAGAGAAAGGGTGTCGTAGAGACAAAGGACAGGGCTGCCCAGTTGTACTGGGGAGTAAAGGAAAATAAGTAAATAGATCCAACTGTGCAAGGTCTTCAAGTTAAAGTACTTTGAACTTTTTCCTTGGGACAATGGGAAACTGTGGATTCTTTCTGAACCAAGTGGTAGTTTAGTCAGGCAGCTATATAAAGACAGGGAGACAAGAGCAGCAACAATGTGTTTACTCTGGTAATCTAGGCCCAAACTACTGAGGACTTGGCAGCAGCAGTAGGAGTAGAGAGAAAGAAATCAACTATCAAGACATTTCAAATAAATCCTAGCAGACTGATTACCCAGGATAGATAAAGAGGAATCAGCAAGCAATAATTTTGGGGCATTTAGTGACTGCTCAGCACTGTGTGATGTTTTATAGGGATCTAAAACAAGATTTCTGTTTTCAAGAAGCTTACAATCTAATTGAATAACATGAAGTACTGTAAGCCAATAAAATGAAATTATTCTGGTCCAACTCTTGCCCAAGTCACAGAGCTGATCATTGTTAATCAGAGAAGTGCTGGGAGGTAGGAAAAGTGTGGATCAGCACAGAATAATGGATCCCAGAAGCTCACGTTTTAAGGCATAGGAGTGGCCAAAAGTACCAATTCTGCAAATGTCAAGTAGGAAGAGGACTGAGAAAAAGGCACTAAGTTTGTCTTTGACAGATCAACTTAACAAGGGTGGTGAGAGTCAGAACCAGATGGTATATGTTTCATGAAGTCTGTAAACAAAAGAAAAGTTTTTAAAATAGGACAGCAATTTTTTAAAAGATAATGGAGGAACTAAGATTTTTAGGACCTTCTTGGTAAGGATAAGATAAAATAACACTGGGATTAGTTAGGCACATTAGAACTACGGGCTATACTTTGAGGAAACTATGCTATAGCAAAAAAGGTAAGGGAGGAAGGAAGAGAAAAATTTGTCCATATAATTCGAGACTGAATTTTTTATCCCCAAACTGGTGGGAATTTTTTATCCTAATCTGAAGCCAGCTCCTTCTCTTCTGCCACTGGAGCCAGCAAGCATGAAAATACACACACATGGGATTTCCTCTTTTAAGTGAAGGAGCTGATGTGGTTGGGAAAGAGAGGGTTCACTGGTTGTTCAGGGATCCAAGCTCCATGGAATAGATAAGGTGAGGAACTTCAAGGTGTTAGGTAGCTGTATATTCTAAGATTGGAGCCCTCCAGAATATTAGAGTGAATATGTTAGGTTTTAAAATTCATCCCCTTGTTGGATTGATCACTCATTTGAGCATTTAGTTTACAAAAAGGAAGGAAGGCTAGCTTGAAACTGGCTTAGCCCTAGCTAGTAGGAAGGAAAATTCAAACAAGTATATATGTTTCTTTTCAGCTGTGGGAGGTTATGCTGTGTGCTCTTGTGCTAACATTAAGGAAAGCACAGATATTACTCTTTAGTGTGAAGTTGCTGATGTCTGATGAGAGATGAACTCTGACTGAAGGCTTTTCCACAGTTATTACACTTGTAAGGCTTCTCTCCGGTATGAGTTCTCTGGTGAATAATAAGGGAGGAGCTCCGACTGAAACCCTTTCCACACTCTCTACACTCGTGGGGCTTTTCTCCAGTGTGTATTCTCTGATGTTCAACAAGGGATGAGCTCCGACTGAATACCTTCCCACAATCACTGCACTCATAGGGGTTCTCCCCAGTGTGTGTTCTCTGATGTTCAATAAGAGATGAGATCCAACTGAAAGCTTTTCCACATTCACTGCATTCATAGGGATTCTCTCCAGTGTGTATTCGTTGATGCTGAATTATGGTTGAATGGTCGCTGAAGGCTTTCCCACATTCATTACATTTGTAAGGTTTTTCTTGAGTATGAGTTCGCTGATGCTGACTAAGGTTAGTGCTTCGGCTAAAGGCTTTTCCACATTCATTACATTCATATGGTTTTTCTCCAGTATGGATCCTCTGATGTAGACTAAGGTGTGTACTCCGGCTAAAAGCTTTTCCACATTCACTGCATTCATAAGGTTTCTCTCCGGTGTGAGTTCTTTGATGTTCAATAAGGTGTGTACTTCGGCTAAAAGTTTTACCACATTCATTGCATACAAAAGGCTTTTCTCCACCATGAATTCTACTGTGGACAATAAGGTCTGATTGGTAATTAAAGGCTTTACCACATTCATTGCATTTACAAGGTTTCCTTTGCAGAAAGAGTTTTTGGTGTTTAATTAAGCCTGAATTATCTTTGGAGTTTTTCCTAGATATGGGGGACATAGCTCCCTTTGGAATTTTCTGCCGTGTATTAAGCTTTGAGCTTAGACTAAATTCACTGGATTCAGGGCCTCTCTCCCTAGTGAAAATTTCCTTGAGGGTCATTGACACTTTTCTGATTGCTGTTTTCTCAAAAGAAGATTTCTTCTGTGGAGGACATTTTGTCTGCCTTGATAACTGGCCCTCATTTTTACAGGCTTCCTCATTCATAGGACGTTGGGCAGTATTCCTTCGGAGACTTTCCATTGCTGACCCTGGAAACTCTAGTTCTTCAGAAATAGCCTGATTGGTGTTGATGCTTTGGTTCAGTTCAAATATCCCTATCTGAAAGACATTTAAAGTGCAAATATCACCTGTGTCTAGTGTGGAGAGCAAGGAAAATAAACCAACAGGGAAAAAAGACAACTAATTTGCAATTCATGCACACTAGCAACTTTATATGGGCAGAAACTTAAAAGGGACAATGAAAGAGAAGTGAACAAGGCCAGAAGTGATAACAGAGTTTTCACAGTGGATGCACAGAGACATCAAGAAATACAGGTAGGGGCTTGGTTAAATGCTGAGCCCCCAAAATGGACATAAGCAGATATACCAATTGATGAGCAGAGAACAGGGGATTAGAAAGTAAAATGAGCTATTAGCTATTGTAGCCAATTAGTTATGGTAAATGAGAGACAGGAAAGGGATGAGAAAAGTAAAGACTCTCAAATGTAGAAAACATAACCACCACCACCCTGCCAAAATGCAAAAAGTGAGGAAGACTCTATCAAGCTTGGATGCAACCACTTTCTTGGCAAAGAGAGAAAACAGAATTTCAGAAATGCTAACTATTACCCTGCTATCCCCATTTGATCTCCCTTTGATCCCCCAACCCTTCTTCCAGCTAGTTTAGGTACTCTTCTAAACAAGTCTACAACCACAGACTTCAGAGGATTAACAGAGCTCATCATAACAGATCTTAACTTAGAGTTCATCAAGGCCACCTTGCTTATTTGACAGATAGAAAACAGAGTAACTTAAGTCACCCAGCAAATTGCAAGAGCTTAGACTAGAACTCACGTCTCCGAAATTTCAAATTAGTGGCCTTTTCATGATACTACTCACCTAGACAGATATTTTTGGTCACTCCCCTCTTCAGCTCCCTGAAGATCCAGTGTCTACAGTTGTTCTTTCTCCAACTGGGTGATCATGTCCAATTCACATGCTGGGATCCCTGCTGGTTGTAAATGATTTAACACAAGGCTATTGGTGCTGGAGACACAGGGCTATTGAGAGCTCAACATTAATGCTTTGATCTATAGAAAAGATAGTGTGTGGGAATTCCCTGGCGGTCCAGTGGTTAGGACTCCACGATTTCACTGCCGAGGGCCTAGGTTAAATCCCTGGTCGGGGAACTAAGATGCCACAAGCCACACGGTGCAGCCAAAAAAAAAACCCCAAACAAACAAACAAAAACCATAGTGTGCATTTTTAGAGGCTGTGGCAGGAGGGGCTGGAGAAAATGGGTATCTGAAAGTTCTGGGCTAAAACTGGTTCCAAAAGAAAGGTTATACACATACCCATCAGAATCACTTATGGAACTTGTTACTGTAGATACTGGGCATGACTTCAGACCTAGTTAAGTACTATGAGGCCCAGGCATTTGCATTTATTAAGTTCGTATGACTCGACAAGTTGAATTGTCCAAAATGAACCTTAGAAACACTCTATAGGTTGCCTGAAAAATGTGTTCACTGGGACCAGCCTTTCTACCAAACATTCTTCTCAGAGCCAGAGGGTCTAAAACATAAACTCAGCTTCCCTTAGGACAGGTGACTTCTTCCTTCTGCTGGAAGGGCCAACACTTCCCAAGGATCTCAAGGTTTCCAGGTATTAGGCAGCTAGCTTTCCCAGACGATTCCTTTAAAAAGCTGGCACCCCACATTCAGACTGTACCAAGCAGTCTGTTTATCTCCCCACTCACAAGGTTGTTCTAACATTTGCCTTATAATAAGGAAGAGCAGCAAGGCCCTCTCCTAGAATACTGACCTAAACTCGTGCATAGCAGAGCATCCTGGCTCTGGCAACCTTTCTGTTGGTAAAATGGGGAGGATATGGGAATCTGTGCCTACTCTTCCAGCCCTTCTCTGGACTCTGTTTCCCCACTGAAGTTTTTTCTTTAACCCATTTTCTTGTAAATTCACTCAAGAGCCCTTGGGCATGACAGTAGGCAACAAATTGTATAATAGTTCCCCTAATGTTTCTGCTCACAGCACAATTTAAGATCCACTAGGTTAAGAGTTGATCTGGTTTCACAAGTCTTGCCTTTCTCAGAGACTGGGAACCTCCCACATGTGGAAATGAATCCTGGAGGATGTTCCCGAAGAAGCCATCCATGGAGAACCTCAAGAGCAACATGACGATGCTGTCTGTGTCCAGCTTTGCCAAGAACATGCCTTTCAACTGAAAGCAGGGAATGCAAAACTCTACCACTAGGTTGACTGAGAAGTCAGAATTTCTAATTTATTTAGAACCTTGCAATAAAATCAAGTTGCATACTTTTTGGCGCTAACATTCCTTAGTAGGCATTTGTCTTACTGCTTAGGTTGGCTGGCCTACATTCTTGCAGCCCAGATCCTTAAGCTACTCCATCATTATTCTGTTGGCAGTTCACTGTTACTTCTCTCCTCTATTACAGTAATCCTCAAGGCAGCAATATCACCTCCTAGGGAGAGTTTTGGGAATTTGTGAGGGTTTGTGTGTGTGGTTTTTTTGTTTTGTTTTGTTTTGGTTTTGGTTTTGGTTTTGGTTGTCATGTTGATTGGATGGGGCTATTAGAATTTAGTGAGGGCCAGGGATTCCTGTAAAACAAAGAATGTCCCTTATCCTGCCAGACTTTCAAAAGAGTTGTTAATGGTTACCTGAGACTGGAACTACTTTACAAATAAATACAAAGTATTTTGCACAACTTTGCTATGTATTGGAAAATCAAGGAAATATACTTCTTTTTCTTTGAATGATATTCGGAATTGTTCGCCATTTTAGGAAAATCAAGCCACTCATGATATTAGATTCACAAATACGACATTCACATATCCGTCTGCATTTGTAGCTGTTGTATTCACATGATTCTATGAATAGGTACAAGTGTCTATTTCATCCAATCATTTACATGCTGAAAAACTATTATTCTATTATAAATTACTTTCCTTTTCTTTCTCCTTTATATTACAGTTAAGGTAGCGTAATGATATTCTGGAAATTATATCTATAGGTAGTTAATATTATCTATAAATTTTATTTCAAGATAGTAAAGGGGATGGTAGGTTTGAAAGGTAGAAAATTACTTCTCTAGTGCAATAGAACTAAAGTATTAACAGTTACACAATAGATAAATAATGACTGTCCCAGGCGGTAAATTGCAAAGCCTCTAAAGCCTTAAAGCAAAAGTCCTTGTCCCCAACAGAAGTCCTTGAAGATCTGAGAACACCCAGACTGCCATAAAGGTGACATAGGAGCAGTGGGAATTTTGTACATAGTGGAATATTATTACATTATTACATATTACATTCCATCTTGGAGAAGAGATATTGTTGAGAAGAGATTTTGTTCAGGTTTTTGGAGACAAAGGGAAACCAGGAAGATCTGAAATGTGAAGATTTTTATAAACTGACTCACTAGAACCATTAAAACATAGGACATCTAAAAGTAGGCAGGATCTCCTGAACAGAGAGAGAACTAGGACAGAGTTCAAAGGAGAGAGCCAATTTGAAGTTGAGAGTTTACTCTCATACTTATTAATACCTTGATGATTGGTAAAATATGCCAATTTGATATAAGATAATTATAATTTAATGTGTATATAGTGTGCAGTACAAGAGTCCCAAGATGTAGTTGTTTTTGCATTTCAAATAAGCTCATGACATGTGTAACTGTATTATGCATTATGTGTTTGTATATGTGACACCTATGACAGACACACAGAAACCACATTGGGGAAAGTTTCTACATTAAAAAAAAAAGAACCCAACTGTGAAAGGAACGTGAGTTGGAGGTGCAGCCTCTGGAAAGGCCCGTTTTTGGTCTTTTCTCTTGGGTCTGCCTATTCTAAGCATTTTATGAATACGGACTCATTTTTGTCTCACAACAATGAGAGGGTTACTATTATTATTTCCACAATACAAATGAAGAATTTGAGATACAGAAAGGATAAGTAATTTGGCCCAAGGCCAAGTGATAAATCCTGGACTCAAACTCACTACACTACATCATACTTACTTCTTCTCAACAAGCAGGGAAAAAACACTTGAGTCATGCTTTCCATTCATATGGCCTCTAAAGGGCCAAGAAACTAAACCACTGATCCCAGGACACCAGCATGACCTTGACACAAGAGTGACTACCTCTGAGAGATGACTATCCTGAGAGGCTGCAATAAGTCCCAACTACACTAAAAGCCCTATCTGGGTAAACTAAGGATTAAATTTCCTGGCTTCCACTAAAGTGCCACCACAAAGCAAGTGGCATCCTTGGCATAAATCAGTGAAACACCAGATAGAGGCCCCGTGGTATAAATAATTACTTGGTATTACATTTACCAAGTAATCTGGATTTTGATCATAGCTCTGTTGGTAGCTAAATAAAAACCAAGGAAAAATAACCAGTCTGGTTTTATGTATCCTCATCTGTAAAAGGAAGATGTTGGACTTGATTAGTCCAGAGCTGTCTGATTCCTGGAATTTAATTTTAGATTCCAAACTCTGAGGCACAGACCCATCTGCCTAGACTAAGGGGATAAGACTAGAATGAGCAGACTCTTTTTCAAATCCCCAGAGACATGTGAGAGCCTAAGGTCCATGTTTCAGAGGAAACTGTTTGAGAAAGAGGCCAATTGCCTAATGCTGAAATAGAGCAAGGGGGTGCTGAGGAAGACATCAAAAGCAGTCAGCAGGCAACCAGGGACTAATCCCATACTGGGCAAAATTTGCCACACTCACCTAAGAAGGGATATTCTCTGAAAAGAGAAATACATGTGTCTCCATTTGGCGAGATGGCACAAACTTCCAGAAAAGAAGGAAGAATCCTTAACATATATGGTATACGATCTTATAGTGAGATAGAAAGTTGCCTTTCCCTCTTCCACCTCCTCTTCGTTTTCTTTCTGGTCAAGGGCAAACCTGGGGATAACACGGGCTTCCCTGGCGGTGCAGTGGTTGAGAGTCCGCCTGCCGATGCAGGGGACACGGGTTCGTGCCCCAGTCCGGGAAGATCCCACATGCCGCGGAGCGGCTAAGCCCGTGAGCCATGGCCGTTGAGCCTGCGCATCCGGAGCCTGTGTTCCGCAACGGGAGAGGCCACAACTGTGAGAGGCCCACATACCGCAAAAAAAAAAAAAAAAAAAAAAAAAATCTGGGGATAACAGGTCTTATCCTAAGGTATCCAGAGTCACTGGTCTAGTAATGTCCACACTGGGCCAGGTGAACGCAACCCTAGGTATTAAGAGGTAAAACAAATGTCCCAAAGTAACCCCACCTCCTCCCAGACACAAAGAAAATGACAGTAGCCACTTATGTCTGGGTTTAAGTCCCTAGTTCTTTAATGAGAAAAGGTAAAGGGAATTGGTCTGGGCTGAGTCCAAACTCTCTCTAAACTCTCTAGGTGTTCCGAGGCATATAATCCAGTCTGCTTATCGATTGCCTCACATGGGATGTGAGTTCAAAGGGAGTAGGCAGTAGTCCCTTACTTCCTCCTGAGAGTCAAAAGAGAAGGCAGGTGATACTGCTCCACCACAGGGCTGCGCATCTCTGGGCAAGCCACTCACCTTTTTGAAAGGCTGGTCCCACACTATAAAATGGCATTACTAGTACTCGCTTGTCTTTTCTCACAAAGCTTCTGTGAATGCTACACGTTATAAATGGCAAAGCTTACTATAAAGAATATCATCTATGACATAAGGAGATATTACTGCTGTGCTTACCTCAAATGAATTAGTTTTTAAATTGTGATAGTATACCTTTAGGGAAAGATGCTCTCAGAGGATTTGTGCTGCTGTTCTAGAGTGTAGACAGATGCATTCTTTTTCCTGGCTTTGGAGGATGCACATGAAATGGGGAAGACAGAGCTGGTGGATATGACAAAGTTCTCAGGAGGAGCCCCCAGATATATTTCAGAGAGGCTAGGAGGTCTCTGTCTCCACAGAGACCTTGATCTCCACAAGGTTAGGACAATACCCTTATCCAGGTTTCATACAAGGGGTTCCTCCACCGTGATGTGGAATGTTGCCTCTCCTTTTCTCTTTTTCTCCTTTCTTCCTCATGCTTTAGTTTTATCTGGATCACCTTACTGGTCTATAGATATTGTAACCTTACCAAATCATTATTCTCGAAAGTACAGTGGTCACAAAGTGCTGCAGCACCAGCAAAACCCATTCTCCTCTTTATATGACTAACTTTCCAGCCCTCACAGCCCTGACCCCCTCCTGTTACCCTAACCATCTGAAATTCTTTTGACCATGCCACTTTCTCTTATAATCAATTGCTGATCTTGGAATAATTTTCCCTTGTATATACTCCCTTGAATATAAAGAAATTATCTCATTCAGAAGGAAGCAGGTTCTGAAGGTTCTGGAATAGCTCTTCTTCTGGTGCTTTGCTTTCTGGTATCGGGCTACTTCCTGGAGCCTTTGTGAATACACAAGAGTCAGCAGGAGGGCCTAGGCAGCCTCTGTTCAACTCTAAAACAGAGACAGTCAAGTCTCCAGGCCTACCAAAAGATGGTCTTCAGACAACAGTGTCCTTGAAGATTGGTTCAAAGTCACAACAAATTCACAGAATTTGATATACAGCATTTGTCAATACCCCTAACAACATCTATTATACTGAAGTACAACCGTCATCATCAGAACCATAAAATAAATACTACTACTCTCAAGCTCTGTAACTTTAAGTAAGGTACTTCATCTCTGTGTGCCTCAATTTTAAAATCTGTAACATGAGGATAATAATCGTACATCTCATGGGGTTAACGCGAGGATTAAATGAGTTGACGCAGGTAAAAACTCTTAGAACAGTGCCTGGTACACGGTAAACATCTGGGAAACACCCCGAGTACAGAAGCCCTTCCTCGCCCAGCTAGAGCGGAGCGGAATGAAACTCTGAGCTTTTCCATCTCCCAGGGGTTCACCGGAGAACACCCTGCTGTCACTGCAGCTGAGGAACTAGGTTGTGCCCACCCACAAGGCGAGCGCTGGGCGCCGCGCAGAGACACCGTACCGCGCGTCCCAGCCGCGGAGGCACCTCTCGGCCGGATCTGAGGCCAGACCACCCTTGGACCTCTCGCCGGTCTCTCCCCGAGAGAGTTGAGTGTTTCCGCACGACCAATTCCTAGAGCCTCCAGGCCCACCCGTCCAGGCCCCGGGCCCCGGAGCCCTACGTGCCCCACTCACCGGCCGCCTCGGGGCGAGCGCCGGGACACACCCTGGGCCGGACCCACGCTTAGACGGAACCTTAGTACGCGGGGCTTGAGGAAGCCGGAAGGATTAACGGGAAACCCTTGCGTCGACCCACTGCTCCCGCGCTCACCAAGGTTCCCGAGGTCACAGACACTCTTCCACTCAGACCCTTGGTCGTGTCCTTGTCAGTATGTGGGGCCAGTCATTGCCTGATCAACGGCCCTGACCTAATTCTGGAGCAGATGGTCTGTTAGAGAACAGAGACGATGTGGAGAATGGGCAGCACACCAGAGGCCGTGGCTCTGCGCCTGCGCTGCAGAGTCCGGGACCGCCAGGTTGTTTCCCGGAGATTTTTGCAAAGCACTTTCTCTGGTGTGTGTGACGCCGAGATTGAGAAGTTGATGCTAGAGGCCTGAGAAAGTTGATGCTGGAGACCCTAGAAAGGTCCTGAAGATCTTAATACATTCTATGCAGTATAGTCCAAACCAGTGGTTTAGTTTTAAACAGCATACCCGCAGAGCTGGTTAAAATGCAGATTCCCAGGCTTCGCACTCGTTGGTCAGAGGAAAGTCCCAGAAACACTGCATTTTCAGGGGGCATCCCAGGTAATTCTAACGCAGGTGGTCCTCAGACCATCTCTGGGGAAACAGGCTTTTTTGCACAGTCTAGATGCTTAGATGCAATTAAATGCAGGACACTTCCCAAATTCCATCAAGAGAAGTAAAGGTAAATAAAATCAGGATCCTATTCTGGTCATGAAGATTTTTACCTATGTTTTATCCTAAGAGTTTTATGGTTCTACTCTTAAATTTACATCTTTGAATTATTTTTTTTGTATTTGGTGTAAAGTAATGGTACAACTTCATTATTTTGCATGTGGATATCCAGTTTTCCCAGTACCATTTGTTGGAAAAGACTGTTACTTCCCAATTATATGGTCTTAGCACTGGTTGAAAATCAGTTGATATATACGTGGAATTTGTTTTTTCTGGGCTTTCTTTTCTATTCCATTGGTCTAGACGTATATCCCTATTCCGGCACGACACTGTTGAGATTACCACTGTGTAGCTTTGTGATAAGTTTTGAAATTAGGAAGTATGAATCTTCCAACTTGTTCCTTTTCAAAATTTGGTTTTGAGGGTCCCTTGAGATTCCATATGAATTTTAGGATGGGTTTTTCTATTTCTGTAAAAAACATTGTTGGGATTTTGACAGGGAATACATCAAATCTGCTTTGAGTAGTATTGCCATCTTAATATTGTCTTTAATTCATAAACATGGTATGTCTTTCCATTTACTTAGGTCTTCTTTAATTTCTTTCAGTAATGTTTTGTACTTTTTGAAGTACAAATCTTTTGCCTCCTTGGCTAAATTTCTTCTTAGGTATTTTATTTTTGATGCTATTGCAGATGGAATTCTTTAATGAATAGAGCAACCAGATTAGTTTAAAAAAATAGAGGATTTGAGCAACAATATAAGCCAGTTAGACCTAACAAAATATACATATAGAACATTTCACCCAACAACAGCAGAACACACATTCTTCTCAAGTGAACATGAAACATTCTCCAGGATAGAGCATATGTTAAACCACAATAAAAGCATTAATAATTTTTAAAAGATTAATATCATACAAAGAATATTTTCTGATCAAAATGGAATGAAACTAGAAATCAATAACAGAAGGAAAATTAGAAAGTTCATAACTGTGTGGAAATTAAATAACATAGTCTTAAACAAAAAAGAACATAAAAGAAATCACAAAGGAAATTAGAAAATGAGAAGAATGAAAACAAAAGCACAACACACCAAAGCTTATGGGGTGAAGCACTGTTTTTTAAAATCCCCTAGGGGTTGGGAAGCAATTTCAGCTCTTTGGAGTTAAAACTATGGCTGGACTCTGTACTGGCTCCTCAGCAATCAAAAGCAGTGATAAGCAACCAAAACATTAAACCCCAATGTTTAGAGTGCAAGGTCTTTATTGCCTACCACAGCACCAGAAAGCTACACCAGGAGCAAGGCCCATAGTTCCCACTGGCTGCCTGCCATAGTGCTAGGAGATGGGGGATGGTAGCCATTGCATGAAACAGTGAGATTCACCAAAATTTATCAATCTCTTCATCAATCTCTCTTCTGGACTCTGCAAGTGTTTGACTAGACCCCAGATTTCCAAAAGAGTTGCTTCACACAGTCCTGCGAGCTCAATAGTTGTTTCTATGGAGGGGCTGATTCCTGGACATTCCTACTCATCCCTCTTCCATGACATAACTGTCATTTCCTTTCACAAATCATGGAATGAAGAGTGAAATGACACAGACAGATACAAGGCTAGAATTAAATCTTGTGTTCTTTAAGGGGGAAAGGGTCTCCTGAATATAAGGAGTTTAAGCAATATAAGGAGAGAAATTGGTTGGAAGAAGAGGGACAAGAAAAAAATTTTAATCTTAAAAACAGAAGAAATGCTGAGCATACTTAACTTACACCTTTCTATGTGACTTCTTGGACTTCATGTCTTTACAATTTTTGCACTGCAGAGAAATTTAAAATCCATTTGTAAACAATTGCTGTGAATTTTGAAATGGGACTTTTATGAACTTCTACCAAACTTACCTTTAAGATTTTCCCAATTTGTATATCTGTTGCTTCATGTGAAAGAAACTTCTTAAAATGAATTTAATAAAATAAAGCGTTCTTCCTACCATACGACCCAGCAATCCCACTACTGGACATATACCCTGAGAAAGCCATAATTCAAAAAGAGTCATGTACCACAATGCTCATTGCAGCACAATTTACAATAGCCAGGACATGGAAGCAACCTAAGTGTCCATCGACAGATGAATGGATAAAGAGGATGTGGCACATATATACAATGGAATATTACTCAGCCATAAAAAGAAGCAAAATTGAGTTATTTGTAGTGAGGTGGATGGACCTAGAGTCTGTCATACAGAGTGAAGTAAGTCAGAAAGAGAAAAACAAATACCATATGCTAATACATATATATGGAACCTGGGGAAGAAATGGTCATGAAGAACCTAGGGGCAAGATGGGAATACAGACACAGACCTACTAGAGAATGGACTTGAGGATATGGGGAGGGGGAAGGGTAAGCTGCAACAAAGTGAGAGAGCGGTATGGACATATATACACTACCAAACATAAAATAGGTAGCTAGTGGGAAGCAGCCACATAGCACAGGGAGATCAGCTCAGTGCTTTGTGATCACCTAGAGGGGTGGGATAGGGAGGGTGGGAGGGAGATTCAAGAGGGAGGAGATATGGGGATATATGTATATGTATAGCTGATTCACTTTCTTATAAAGCAGAAACTAACACACCATTGTAAAGCAATTATACTCCAATAAAGATGTTAAAAAAATAAAGCGTTCTTCAATCAGCTACAAGGGATGATAAATTGACAAATCTGGCTATACTGTCTATTGAAGGTGATTATACAAACAGGATAAATTTTGTCAGTCATTGAGAAACTTGCAGAAGACTAAAAAACAGAAACTATGAAGTTATTATTCATTACTGCAACACACTAATATGTAGGTGAGTTTTTTTCATCTTTTCCCAGAAGTATATTCATGTAATTAAAAATACCAATCCATTATTTAAAAACTTTTTGGCCTATATTAAAAACTTCTTTAAAACTTCCATAATTATATGTGAAGTGAAATAAAGACTATTTCACTGGCCATTATTATTATTCAATCCATTTCAGGATTATTACTGAAAATAATTTTTCTTGTACAGAGGAGAGAAGTGTTAAAAAAAAATTATCTGCTCTGGATGTTAAATAAGCCTTGGTAAGGGTACCCAGATTATATTCCTAAACAACATAAATGGAACCTGAGACTCTCGTTTTATGCAGGCGTTATTCTCTGCCAAGAAGACGAAGACATGGGAGGATAAACAAAACTGGATTGCTAGCAGGAAGACAGGCGGACTTAGAGTGCTAAGCTTAACCCTTGGTTCCTAGGTTCAGATCAAAAACCGCTGCCTTGAGCGCTGGGACCAATCTGGCTGTTTCCATGGAGAAGGCGGGAGCGGCTGGTTGCACAGGATTCCCGGCGCCTCTATTGCGTCATTTCCCACCGCTGGCCCTTGGCTCCGTCGCCCCAGCCCGCGTTAATTGGGAGGGTGAGTGTCTAGTGGGAGCCTGAATAGTGTGTTCCAGAGTATTGGCTGACAGTACGCTTTGCCCTTTCGGGAAAGCTTTCTATGGAGATGCCCCACTGTCAGTTGTGAGGCTGCGGCACCACAACGCTCCGGACAGAGTCGTGGGAGTGTCTGGATGGATAGCTACGTATCCTGGCAACGGCCTGTCCTCCAGGTGAAGTCTCGAGTTTTATCGCCAATGCTGGGGTTTGTTCCAGGCAAGTGTGCACATCAAGGCCTTTCTTTAGCACTTGTCTGCCTTTTCCGTTCTGTTTTTCCTCGTAGGTTTCCCCATTGTGGGATCTGTGTTGCTCCCTGTTCAAGAGATCGGTTGGGACACACTCAGGATGACTGTTTCTGCCAGAGTGATTTTGGGGACTCATGCTTTTTCTTTAATAACAACGTCATGCACCTACTTTACATCCTTAAAATGGGCTTTATAAAAATCATTTAGCCATTCTTGTTACCTCCCGGAGTAAGTAGGGCTTTGGGATGAAGGCTGCAGTATTCTTTCTCGAGCTGCAGAGTGAGGGTTCTCTCCACAGAGATTCATTTTTTTGTGTTGGACACTTCTCATTGTTTCTTTTAATCTCCAGGTCCCAGAGCCATAGAAATAAAGTGCTTCTTCAGAGTGAAAGCATTTTTTTACCCAAATGGAATAGAAAGTATCAGAGAGCAACACATATAGAAAGGGTAAGTATTTATTTCGTGAAGCTTTTGTGTATTCAAGTGTGTGTAATGGGTTATAAAACGTATTGCTGTGTGGTCAAAAGTAGACACTGACTTACAACGAACTATATGCCATATAGGAGGACAGAGGAGACGCGTGAGACACAGAGAACTCCCTTTGTCAGGAGATAACCTTTGACTCGAGATTTTCAGATGGACAAAGTCCTCTGGTGCTAAGGAATGCTCTGAATAGACTGCCGGGAAAGATTAGCATTTAGATGGTGGCACAGTATCTGAGGATCAGAGAAGCTGTAGTGACTAGTGTTTTTCAAACTTTGGGACCATTGTGAGTTATGAAATCGAGCCACTGGCTTGCAAACAGCGTTTTAAAAAAGAAAGAAAGAAATAGAATAGCAAATATGTATACCAGAGTAGCTTATACACACAATAAGAGTAACAGCAAACATGTATAGTAGGAATAATTGTTGTTTTGTGAAATTTTGGCTCAGACACACACCATACACACATAGAGGCAAGTTTGTAGTAGTTGCAAAGTAAAATGTATTTCTGAATGGAAAGAAAGTACTTCACTAGTAGATGATTAAGCTGAAATGCTTGAGGGTTATAGATGAGAATAAAGGGAAAGATGCTGGTATTCTCAGAATGAGTAAAACACAGCCATTTCAAGGATTGTAGTAGAAGTGAGGGACTCTGAAACTGAGATTCAAGGAAAGAAAAGTAACTCTATCCTTAGGGATTGAAGATAGATACTGTTGGCTTGTGCCGGTAAGAGTGTATCATACTTTATTTCTTTTTCAACTCTTCTGTGTCGGTCACCCAGCCACTAAACCAGGAAAGGGAAAAAAACTTAGAAGAATGTTAGAGATAATCATATATAATTTTTAGGGTTATTTTCCTTCTTCCTCCCCCCTCCCTTCTTTCTCTTTTTGTCCCCTTTGGTAGTATGTCTTAGGAGAAGGAAATTATCCTCCTTATTAACCTTATATTTTTAAAAAATTATGGAAAGATCCAACCACACAAAAGTACAGAACTTTGCACAATTAACCCCTTAATTTAAGTTGGTATGATGACTTTGGAAATAAGTTTGGTATTAACTAAATTGAAGATATATATGTTATGAGCCCATAATTCCCTTCCCAGGTAAATTCTCAACAGTGATACATACACAAGTGTCCTAAATCATGTACATGAATGTTCATAGCTGAATAATTTATAGTAGCAAAAACTGAAAATAACTCAAATATCCAAAAAAAAGTACAATGGATAAATAAATTGTGGTATTGAATACTACATCCACCTTTTTGTGTTTTTTAACATCGAAATTTTTAAAGAGTGAAGGTCAGTTGCTTTGTAGAATGTTCACAATTAAGATTTGGCTAGTTATTTTCTTATGATTAGATTATGATTAAGCATTGTTGGCATGAGTACCACATATGTATCTCCCATTGCATCACATCAGAAGGTACTTTATGTCACTTTGTCCCACTATTGGTTAAGTTTGATCACTTAGGTTAAGGCGGTATCTGCATAATGTTAAGGTACATTTCTCCCCTCTTATCAATATTTTTATGTCCTCAAGCATTCTTTTAAAAATTCAACATGTTATATGCATTACTGTCATGATTCTTTTGATTCTCGAATTATCCAAAATTTTGCTAATGGGAAGACCTTTAAGTCAGCTTCTGTGTCTTTTTGCTGTATTTTCAGAGACCTTCCTTGTTTCCTGGCATAACTGCCTTTATGCTCACTATGTATTCCCCACCTGAGACTTGGATCAACTACTTCTTCAGGGAGGCCCCTCCACTTTTTTTCAGTTTGTTTGTTTGAATTAGTCCCAAATGAGGTGCACACATTGTGTTTAAGTCTTTCTCTTTTTAAAAGATAAACTTTTAATTCTAAATACTTTTAGATCTATTTAAATTTAAATCTACAGAAAAGTTGTAAAGGTAGTATAGAGAGTTCCTGAATACCCCTGACCTAGCTTCCCCTATTGTTAACATCTTATACTACTATGGTATGTTTATCGCAATTAAGAAACCAACACTGGTACATTACTATTAACTAAACACTACACTTTATTAGGATTTCACTGTTTTCCCCTCATGTTCTTTTTCTGTTCCAAGACTCTTTCCAGGATACAATGTTACATTTACATGTCATGTTTCCCTAGTCTCCTTTGATCTATGCATTTTCCTCAGGCTTTCCTTGTTTTTGATGACCTTGACCTGGTCAGGCATTTTGTGGAATGCCCCTCAATTGGGATTTTTCTAATTTTTTTCCTCATGATTAGACTGGGGTTATAGGTTTGGGTACGAAAGACCACAGAAGAGAAGTCCCAATCTCATCACATCAAGGATACATCTCATATCAAGGATACATGCTATTAACATGACTTATCACTGATGATATTATTCTTGATCACCTGACTGAGGTATTATTTACCAGGTTTCCCCACTGTAAAGTTACCTCTCCTTCCATATTCTATTCTTTGAAGCAAGTCAATAAGCATAGCCCATAGAAGGAGTGGGAGGAGGGGAAATTTACCTCCCCATCCTGCAGGGGAGAGTAGCTATATAAATTATTTGGAATGCTCTGTAAGAGAGATTAGTTTTTTAATCCCCTATTTATTTATTCAATTATTTATATCAATATGGATCCATTGATATTTATTTTATACTTTGTGTTATAATACAATAGCACACTATTTTATTGCTCAAATTATTTCAGCTTTGGCCATTGGGTGCTCTTAGGTTGGGTCCTATGTCCCTTTGGCATTCCCCCTACCCATTTCCCCATTATTTTTTTAAGCATTTTCTTACTTCCTGTCAATACAAGGTGCTCCAGGTTCATCTTGTATTTTCTCTGTCCCAGTCCTGGAGTCAACAATATAGGGTGTGCTCATTGTCACTGAGGTGTCACTGCTTCTGGGCTCTCTCAGCTGCCAGTGTTAGACTATACTATATATGTATACTAACCAATATATCCATACATATCTATAATTATTTCTGTATCCATCCATATCTATATTAAGCTAAAGGTGAATACATGCTGATGTCTCTGACTCTAATCCAATACCACATGTATCATTTTAACCTTCCCTCTAGCTTATTTGTAACTTCCCTGCCCAATAGTGAGAAACCTGGCACTCACAGTCAACCATCCATTTACTTATCTGTTCAACTCCAGTGTACATGTACAGCTGTTGCAGAATTTGTTTCTCATATTCCCAAGAGAAACAAATATACCAACTAGAGTGCTGTGTGAAGTTAATTCCTTTTGTCTGAGTCTTACAGTTTCCAGTCATTTCCAAAGATACTTAAATCATTCCCTTTATTCTCCATCCTCCTTAGTGAGGTCATGTCATACATTTGTAACATAATTAGAATCTTTTTTCACATCTTACAATCTATCCTAAGATCCCCCAATCTCCTGGTTGGGTTTCTAAAAATTCTAATTTATTAAAGCTCATTCTTTATGTTGTAAAGTTGTTGGTTTAAAAAACTGCATAGTTTTGTACATCCAAACTACAATATGATACAGGTTAGTTCCATCACCCTAAAAAATCTGTGCTTCCCCTAGTCAAATACCTTCCTCTCCCCAAACTACTGGCAACCACTGATCTGTTTTCCATCCCTCTAGTTTTGCCTTTCTAATAGAACGTCATGAATGGAATCATGTAGTATGTAGCCTTTTCAGTTTGCTTCTTTCATTTAGCAAAAAGGATTTAAGATTCATCGATATTGTGTGAATTAATCTCTCATTCCTTTTTATTGTTGGATAGTATTGGATCCACAGTAGTTGGGCGTACACTATTTGTTTATTCATTTACCTGTTGAAGGACATCGTGATTGCTTTGAAGTTTTGAAGATTATGCATAAAGCACTTATAAACATTTGCATGCAATTTTTTGTGTGGGTTATGCCTCTCTTGTTTTATTGGGGTAAAATTCACATAACATAAAATTTAACCATTTAAGTGTGTAATTCATTAGCTTTTAGTATATTCACAATGTTGTGCAACCATCATAGCTATCTAATTCCAGAACATTTTCATCACCCCCAAAGAAGCTTTGTACACACTGAGCAGTCACTCCTCATTCCACCCTTTCCCCAGCCCCTGACAAACACTGTTCTCTTTTGTCTATGAATTTGCCTGTTCTGAGCATTTCACATAAATAGAGTCATACAATATGTGGCTGTTTGTGTTTGCCTTCTTTCACTTTCAAGGTTCACACATGTGACATTTATTAGCACTTCATTTCTTTTTAAGGCTGAATAATATTCCACTGTGTGTATATAACACATTTTGTTTATCCATTAATCTGTTGATGGGCATTTGAATTTTTCCCACTTTTTCCTATTATGAATAATGCTGCTATGGAAATTCATGTATAAGACTTTGTGTGAATGTGTTTTTGTTTGTTTGTTTGTTTTTGTTCTTCAGTTTTCTTGGGTTTATGCCTAGGAGTAGAACTGCTGGATCATATGGCACCTCTATATTTAAATTTTCAAGGAAGTGTCAAACTTTTCCACAGCAGCTGCACCATTTTACATTTCCACCAGCAATGTGTAAGGGTTCCATTTCTCAATGTCCTTATCAATATTTGTTGAAAATCAAATTGTTTTGAGTATAGTTGTCCTAGTGGGTGTGAAATGGTATCTTGTGGTTTTTATTATTCACATTTGCCTAATGACTAATGGTATTGAGCATTATTTTATATGCTTATTGGCTATCTGCATGTCTTCCTCGGCAATATGACTATTCAGATCCATTACCTGTTTTAAAAATTGGGTTGTGTTTTTGTTGCTGGGTTATAAGAGTTCTTTGTGTATTCTATATACTAGACCCTTGTCAGATATATTATTTGCAGATATTTTCACCCATTATATGGGTTGTTTTCACACTTTTCATAGTGTCCTTTGATCCACAAATTTTTAAATTTTGATGAAGCCCAACTTATCTATTTTTTTTCTTTTGTTACTTCTGCTTTTGGTGCCATATTTAAGATAATTGCCTGATCCAGTGTCCCAAAGGTTTATAGTTACATTTCCTTTTAAGAGTTTTAGTTCTTACATTTAGGTCTTTGATCAATTTTGAGTTCATTTTTGAATATGTGGGCATAGGGGTCCAAATTCATTCTTTTGGATGTGAATTTGTTGAAAAAGTGATTCCCCAAAGTGATTCCCCATTGAATGGTCTTGAAGCCCTTGTTGAAAATCAATTGACCATAGTCACATATGTTTCTTGACTCTCACTTCTGTTCCACTGACTTGTGGAACACTATTTTGATTAATGTAGCTGTGTAGTAAGTTTTGAAATCAGGAAATGTCAGTCTTATTTTGTTCTTTTCAAGATTGCTTTCCCTATTTGGTGTCCCTTGCAATTCCATATGAATTTTAGGATCAGCTTGTCCATATCTGCAAAGAAGGCAGCTAAGATTTTGAATCACTGAGTCTGTAGATCATCCAGGGAATATTGCCTTTAAAACAATATTAAGTGTTCCAGTGCATAAGCACCAGATATTTTCCCATTTACTTTGATCTTTTTCTTTTCTTTTCTTTCTTTCTTTATTTTTGGCCTCATTGGGTCTTCGTTGCTGCACAGGGGCTTTTCTCTAGTTGCGGCAAGCGGGGGCTACTCTTCGTTGAGGTGCGCGGTCTTCTCCTTGCAGTGGCTTCTCTTGTTGCAGAGCACAGGCTCTAGGCACACAGACTTCAGTGCACACAGGCTTCAGTGCACACAGGCTTCAGTAGTTGTGCACGTGGGCTCAGTAGTTGTGGCCCGCGGGCTCTAGAGTGAAGGCTCAGTAGTTGCAACACACGGGCTTAGTTGCTCCACGGCATGTGGGACCTTCCCTGACTAGGGCTCGAACCAATGTCTCCTGCATTGGCAGGCGGATTCTTAACCACTGGGCCACCAGGGAAGCCCTACTTTGATCTTCTTTAATTTCTTTCAATAGTGTTTTATAACTTTCATTTTAAAATTTGTGCACTTCTGTGGTTAAATTTATTCCTAAGTATTTTTTCTTTTTCATACTATTATAAATAGAATTGTTTTCTCAATATTATTTTTGGATTATTCTTTGTTAGTATATAGAAATACAACGGAGTTTTGCAAATTGATCTTTCAATTTTATCTTATCCTGCAATTTTGTTGAACTCGTTTGTTGGAATAGTTTGTGTGTGTGTGTGTGTGTTGTGTGTGTGTGGATTCTTTAGGGTTTTAGATATAAGATTGTGTCATCTGTGAATAGAGATAGTTTTACTTGCTCCTTTCCAATCTGGATGCTTTTTTTGTTTGTTTTTTTTTTCCTTTCTTTCTGAATTGCCTAAGCTAGAGCTTCCAGTACAGTGTTGAATAGAAGTGGCAAGAATGGACATCCTAGTCTTTTTCCTGATCTTAGGGGGAAAGCTTTCAGTCTTTCACTGTTAAGCATGATGTTAGTTGTGGTTTTTTTCATAGATGCCCTTAATTAGGCTGAGGAAGTTCCCTTCTTTCCCTAGTTTGTTGTGAGATATATATATATATATATTCATGAAAGGGTGTTGGATTTTTGTCAAATGCTTTTTCTACATCTATTAAGATGAACTAGTGGTTTTCCCCCTTCATTCTGTTAATAAGGTATATTACACTGATTTTTTATGTTGAATCATCCTGCATTCCTGGGATAACTTTCACTTGGCTGTGGTATATAATATTTTAAATATGCTACTGAATTCAAGTTACTAGTATTTTGTTGAAGATTTTGACATCTGGATTCATAAGGGATATTGTTAGGTAGTTTTGATTTTTTTGTGATGTCTTTTTCTGTCTTTAGTATTAGGGTAATATTGGCCTCATACAATGAATTAGTAAGTGTTCAGTCTTCTTATATTTTCTTTGAGTCATTCCTCCATGAACCCACCTGACAGGTAAAAACAAAAAAACCACAATTCTTTGTGGATGAGGTCTATTCTCTTCCCTCTGGTACTAGTACCCGTGCTGAAAATGGGGGCTATTATCTTCAAGGCTACTGACAAGCTAGGGAGTGTAGAATGGGACCAGTTAAAATGCCATAAAGCTCACTGTTCTTACTAAGATTCAGATGATTTTCCTTGATTATTAAGCATTCCAATGGCTGCTGCAAGTTTTGGTTAATTTCTAGAATTTTAAAACAGTTGATTCTGACAGTTTTTTCCAGAATTGCAATTGTTGCTTTTGTGGAGGGACAGACTTTTGGATTTCTTTACTCTGCCATTTTCTCACAATCTCCTTTCTTTTTTTCCCCATGCCATTTTTGTTGTTGTTGTTGAAGAAACAGGGTCATTCATCATGTAGAATTTCCTACGTTTTGGATTTGGATAATTACATATTAGTGGTATCAATTAACAGTTCTTTTTTAAACAATTCTGTCTTCTGTAATCTCTACAAGCTGGTGGTTATATCTAAAGACTATATTTAGAATTAGATTCAATTTTCTGACAAGAATACTGATACCTGTGGCTTTGTCCTTCTTTTTGCAGGAGGCATATGATGGCTTGATGTCCCACTGTTTTACTTGTCCATCTGATTTATATATAATAAAGGTTCCTGTCAACCTTCCCCCTAATAGTTTAACATCTTTTAAAAGTTTGGAATCCTGGTGTCCTCTACAGAGTACTGTTCAGTAAATGTTTGCAGTTGTATTTCTGTCCACAGGTTTTCTGGATAGAGGCCTCAGCTTGGAACTTCAGAGGTTGAAAGTACAGCTCAAATGCCTGAGATGGAGGTGAGCCTCCAAAGAAATTGCATCTTGGAAGAGGATTTGCAGTCTGAAGAGAAGCTTTAGCTTCCAGCTCCTTTCAGACATCTTCTGAACCCTTGTGTGGAGGAAAAGCTAGTTGTGCAGGATCAATCAACAGACAAACTTGACCCAGAGGTCTTTAGAGCATTGGCACTGGCAAGATCAAAGAAATGGTGAAATTGCTTGTGCTGAAACAGTTTCAGATCCTCCTGAACAAGGAGTTTAAATTTTGTCTGAAAACTCTGAAAATAATGAAGATTGTGTCTCTGGAGGATTTAACCCAAATGAGGAAGAAATAAGTATGGCTTATAGAAAAAATGTACTAATGGAATAAGCTTAGAAGAAGGCAGTCTGCAAAGTAAAAGTAGGAAACATAAGTTTTCCTTACCCTTCTTTAGGCACAGAGTCAATCCTAGGTAATTTTATTTTCTATTACTGCACAAACTTTCCAACAAGAGTGAAAAGGGCAAAAATCAGCCAGAATCTTAAAACACATCAAGTGTATTTTCCATGTTTCTTTCCACTCCCTGACTAGATAAATGCATACTTTTTACTCAATTATAATTGTAGAATAGTCACAATAATTGTTTTAGACATTTTCATTCTATCACAAGCATTTTATATGTTGGCTGTGTAGTTTTTATAATTATTTTGATAGGGGTGGGCTGTTCCCTCAAGATGCTATTTTAATACTTTGTAAATTTTATTTCTTTTTATGGCATATTTAGATTGTTTGGAATTTTTGATATTTTAATGCTTTCTGCAGGGATCATCTTTTAACCTGTGATTGTTTTTGTTTTTAAAAGATTCTGTTTTGTAAAAAATGATTCTCTTATAACTAGTTGTTAAGAGTACTATTACTTCAACAAAATGCTGCATAATTCTGTGGTATGAGGGGTCAAATTACTCTCCAAAAAGGATATAACACTTTATACTACATGAACACCTTACTGAGGTAAAGTTTCTCCTTAATATTTTCATCTTCCTTTTTCGTATCTGATTGTCACCTCCTAGTGTTCCCTGCCCAGGCATCCTATGTCCTCATGCTTCCCTCTCTGTTCCTGCCCCCGATAGCATCCAGATAACTGTTACCTGAAACCCACTGTAATAACAGAGATAAGAATTCCTTTCTCTGAAACTTAGGAGTTGGGAGTTATATCTGTCCTTTTGCTTCTTTTGATAGCTTTCTTTGGAGAGAAGGTAGGGGCCACATCTGTTGTTCTGAGGGACTTGCTGGTCAGTAGTTTGTCTTCAGGACTCCATGTTCTTTTGACATCTCTGTCTTCCCAGGATTCTTCCTTCCCTCAAAATGGAGCCCAAAGGAGAGAGGCTGGCTACCATGCATCTAACTGCAGGACACCAGGTAAATATGAGTTTATTCCCATCAGAAATGCCATTCCAGTGCTCAGAGCATTAACACATTTTATCCTCTCACCTTAAAATTTATGTTCCCATATATACACTTCTGAAATCAAATCTAAAGTTATTTGACTTATTGTAGTAAATGGTAGGTTCTGTAGAAAAAGCTCCCTTTCAACAGTACCATTCTCTAGTAATCACTTCTTCAAGTCATTGGTTTATTTATCCATCCATTAAACATTTTGTGTTAGGTTCCTGTTGCTGCATAACAAATTACCACACATTTGGCAGCTGAAAACAACACCCATTTATTATGTCACATTTTTGTAGGTCAGAAGTCAGAACACGGCTCAACTGGGTTCTCTGTTCAGGGTTTAATACAGGCTGAAATCAGGATGTCAGCTGGAACCACAGTCTCATCTGAGGCTTGAGATCCTCTTCTAAGCTCATTTAGTTTGTTAGCAGAATTCAGTTCCTTATGTGTAGGACCCATTTTCTTGTTGGCTTTTGGCTGGGCATTGTTCTTAGCAACTAGAGGCTGTCCTTTGGTCTTAGCCACATGGCCCTATCACAGTGAGGCAGCTTGCTTCTTCACAGCCAGAAGGAGAATCTGTCCAGTCTCCTACCATAGAGTCTTATATAATGTAACCTAATCAAGGAAATGACTACCCCACCATAGTCACAGGAACTATGCACACTCAAAGGGAGGAGATTATACAGAGTTAGTACCACAGGAGTGAGAATCTTGGAGCTATCTTAGAATTCTACTCAATAGAATATATGCAGAAGTGTCAGGTGGCAGCTTCTGGGAAACTTTCTGAAGAAATTGCTGATCTTTGCCCTTCTTTATCCCTTCTGTTCTCCTTATAATCTTGGAGTATGAGGTCAAGTTTATACATGATGGACAAACAAGATAGAAGAGCCTGGGTTCCTGACACTTTGGAATGCCATGATTGCCCTCACCATCTACCTAGACTCTTGTGTGGTCCATGGTTATAAAACCCCACTGTGTGCAAAACAGTGTCACCTTGAAATTGTAGAGAACAGATTGGGAGAACGTAGATGGCTGTGATGAGGAGAGACTGCCAGCCATGAAATTAGTCAGGAGACACATAATTTAGGCACGAAGACCTAGATTTTAAGTTCAGATACCTTCCCACAGTTATTATACATATGCATGTTTCAAATGGGCTAGGGATTGGGGGAAAGAGAGCCTCTTTACCAAATAAAAAGAAACCCTGAAAATTTCTAAACTAATTAGCCAACTGTCTTCAAGCTTGAAACTTAGGTGGTCCTACAGAGCGGGAACAGATGCAGCATATCTCACTGTGGCTCACCACATTCCCCAGAATCCCCCAACAAAAGCCAGGTACCTGAAGATGACATTGTTTTGCACATGGTGTACCACATAATTTTATAGTAGGGGCATTTGTCACTATTCAGGAAGCCTGCTACTTTCATTTAAAGAAATGTTTACTCAGGGGGCTTCCCTGGTGGCGCAGTGGTTGAGAGTCCGCCTGCCGATGCAGGGAACACGGGTTCGTGCCCCGGTCCGGGAAGACCCCACATGCCGCGGAGCGGCTGGGCCCATGAGCCATGGCCGCTGAGCCTGCGCGTCCAGAGCCTGTGTTCGCAACGGGAGAGGCCACAACAGTGAGAGGCCCGCGTACCGCAAAAAAAAAAAAAAGAAAGAAAGAAAAGAAATGTTTACTCAGATTGGGCTTTCCTGATTCTGGTATTGAAAACACCAGCAGGAGGTGATACTCTCACTCGACTGTAAAAAGTGAAATAAGTGTCCAAACATCTCTGAGTAATTGCTTTGCCTCCAGCTTTCCAGTATTCTCTCCCCCACCCCACTACCCCCAACCCCAGTCATTTCCCTGCAAATGGCATGACCATTTTCCTTTTTTCTGGTCCATCTGTCTAACTTCTGATGATGCTTCCCACTAGATCACCTCCCTTCCTTCTCTCACATTTTGAATTATGTATATAGATTGATGTGGCCCCCTTTCATACCATTCTTGTCCTATGTATATCTTCGTTCCTCATCCCTCTGTGCTGTTAAATGCAAAGACATATTTCAGAGTGTAAGAGCCATATATATCCGTGGACATGTTTTCATGATATCACTTCACCTTCACCAGTTTCCTGTCACTCAGCACAAGACACGTGCATTAAAAAATTTTCTTTCAGGCTGAGAAAATAATCTTGGAGACCAAAAAGTCTATTGAAAATCAGAATGTTTCTGAATAAGACCGCCTTGGGAGCAATAATGAAAAGACTTACCGAAGATGGTCCCTGAAACCTAAACTTGAGAGAAGATAGGGAATGTAAAGAATAGGTTGGAGAGCCAAGAGAGGGAGACCAGCAGAGTATAGGATCAAATGTCAGTTGCCAGCAAAAAAATACTCAACAAAGAGAGGGGCCAGGCAAAAAGAAAATTTGTAAGAATATATCCTATTATACAACAAAAATTCCTATAGGAAAGAGAGCATATAAGTGTGATATGACTGAAGGTATTTTCAAACAGAATACAGAACTAATGAAACATAAAATGTGCAGTGTAGAGAAACAATACAATTTTAAGGAATGTGGGAAAATTTTCAGTTACTATTCTTTTCTTAATAATCATCCAAAGAGTCACCCTTTATCTTCTCATTTTGGAGAGAAATCTTCTGAATGTAATAGTTGGAAAATCTTCAGTGAGAATGTAACCTTTACTCAGCATGAGAAAATCCACTGTGGAGAGAAACCCTTCAAATTCAATGACTGTGTGAAAACTTTCAGCAGGAGTTCTCTTATTAAACATCAGACAGTGACTCCTCTGGTGGGCCAGTGGTAAAGAATCTGCCTTACAATGCAGGGGATGCAGGTTCCACCCCTGGTCAGGGAACTAAGATCCCACATGCCCCGGGGCAACTAAGCCTGTGTGCCACAACTACTGAGCTCTCGCGCCTCAACTAGGTCCCACATGCCACAAACTACTGAGCCCATGTGCCCTGGAGCCTGCGTGCCACAACTAAAGAAGAGAAAACCCGTACACCACAACTAGGGAGAAGCCCACGCACTGCAACGAAAGATCCCGCATGCCTCAGTGAAGATCCCACATGCCACAACCAAGACCCAACACAGCCAAAAATAAAATAAATAATAAACCTTTTTTAAAACACACACACACACATCAGAGAACTCACACTGGTGAGAAACCCTATGGACATAATGAGTGTGGGAAGTCCTTCAGCCAGAGCTCATCACTTATTAAACATAAAAGAATACACACTGGAGAGAAACCCTCTGAGTGCAAAGTTATAATGTAAGAAAGCCTTCTGAAATTGGTCAGCTCTTATTCAGCATCACAAGTACACACTGGAGAGAAAACATATGAATGTAATGAGTATGGGAAAGGCTTTGGCCAAAGATCATCCCTGACTCATTATCAGAGGACTCATAATGGAGAAAACGTCTTTAAATGTGTTGATTGTGGGAAGGCTTGAAGAGACCACTCTGCTCTCAGAAGTCACTACAGAACTCACACTGGAGAGAACCCGTACAGGTGTAATGCATGTGAGAGAGCCTTCAGCCAGAGTTCACACCTTACCATACATCAAGTAATCCACACCAGAGAGAAGCCTTATAAAGCCTTATAAATGTGGGAAAGCCTTTAGCCAGAGTGCAAATCTTGCCAAACATCAGAAAACACACTGGAGAGAGACTCTAAATGTAGCCAGTGTGGAAAAGCCTTCAGCCAGAGTTCACACCTTACCACACATCAGACAATACATACTGGAGAGAAACCCTATGAATGTGGTAAATGTGGTAGTCTTTAGCCAGAATGCAAGTCTCACCAAACACCAAAAGAATGCTCACTGGAGAAAGACCCTGTGAATGTAGTGAGTGTGAAAAGCCTTCAGCCATAGTTCAGTTCTTTTAAGCATCTGCCAACTCACACGCCTAGAAATTTCGTGAATGCGATGAGTACTAATGACTTCTGGTAAATATCAGTCATCACCAGATATCAAAGATTTTAACATAAGGAAAGTTTATGTAAGATTTGACATTTCATGAAAGGTCAGCAAGTTAATATTCTGAGCAAGAGAGCACTAAATAAATTTTGTGAGATACTATACTTGAGGACAGGTATTGTGTGGTTCTGATATTCCTTAGCAGCTTTTTCTTAAGGCTTTGTACAGTGACTGTAGTAAATGCTTGTATCGTTAATAGATTTTTGGTCAGATTTGTTGTACTCCCATCCTCAGAAACTTTTTTAGGCTTTTAAAAATAGGAATGCCCCAACTGGAAATAGAATCACCCAAATAAAATTGAGAAACTGCTTTTAATTAGGAAGAGCATCTCAAATTCTGTATCTACAATTTCTATTCAGAGAAGCCAGGAATCCAGGTATCTATCACATGGGTCTTCTCCACCATAACAGAGACAATAACAGAGGACCTGCAAGAGCAAGAGGATACCTTTTAAATAACTGATCCCTTTAACAGAGCAATTCCATCACTATGCTTCTCTTTACCTTCTCATCCCCAACACCATGAGGTTTTATCTAAGGAAAGACGCATGGACAGAGAGTGATTTTCAAGATTTATTTCACAAAAATACATTCTACAGGATGTAAGCATGTACTCTTTGAAGTCTATCTTCTCCGCTTTGAACATACCAGTGAGCAAGTAGAAGATTGGGAAAAACAAAGATACTAAATCTCCAAGCCTATTTCTTATTACTTTGTATTTGGTTTACAAAGCACATCATTTTAAGAGGTTCGGCCTTAGGTAGAAAGGTAAGATGATAATAAATCAGATTTCCCCTGAAATACCCACAACATAGAAGAATAAAACCAGAAATCACCTAAACATGATGGAACTGGGGGACTTGGTTTACTCCTTCTGTTCCTTCTCAGAACTGCTCTGCTTCCTCCTTAAACTTTATTTCTATTTAGTTTTAGTTGACTGTTAATCAGTGTAAGTTCAAATACAACTTAAAATATACTCTAGATTGTATGGCACTGCAACAATTACAATACAGCCAAACATTGGCAACAGAAATAGCTTCAATATATTGTACAAAAATTATTTCTCTAAATCTTTAGGTCAATATTTAGTGATAATAAATGGAAAATACAAGTTAAATTTCAACTAACTTCAATTTAAGCTATCCATTGATGGGTTAATGACATTGTGGTTATTTTGGTACAGTTCTAACAACTGGTATTTTGGGCGGTTTGAGTATGTAAAAGTCAATAATGCTGATTTTCATTTGCAAAATAATTTAGTTAACAAATCTAAGAGACATAACTTCAAATAAAGTACTATATAAAATTTTCATTATAGAATCTATGATTCAACTGTATTTTTAATTTTAAAAATTCTGATTTCATCTATTTAATGGGAAACTGTTAAAATGTTATATACAGGGATACTGACTGCAAAAGGGTCTCTAGGAAACTTTCTGTAGAGAGAGATGGGGGTGGTGGTTACTGAAGTGTATACATTTTTCAAGTCATTTACCTGTATACTTAAAAATTATACGTCAACAAATATTTGAAATTTTTTATTTTAATAGCCCATTCAATAATTTCTGTTGTTTCTCTTTCAGGTAATATATTTTTTCTTTAAGATCTGTAACATTCTAAAAAGCTTGTAAAACTGGGTCTTTATTTAAATTTGAAAATCTACAGGATCCAGATTCAAATTCAGCAGCATTCATTTCTCTTTTTCTCTCTATACACATATCACATGCACACATATATGTATATACATATTTCCATCTCTTGCTGCATCATTGAATATCATAAAATTTAATCATGCCTATTTTATTTTGACAATGATTTTCTAGTTTTTAATTTTCCCAGATAGTATTCCTTGTACTTTTCTTATTTTGCTTTATTTGAATGTCCATGGCAGTTTTTATTGAGGTCCTAGATACTTAATTATGAGTTCCATTTGACTCTCTCTTAACTGTTCCCAATTTCCTTGAGATGCTCCTGTGTCATTTGCCAGGCTGTGGTCTCAGCAACATTACATTACTAACTCGTTTAATCTTCACAACCGCCTTAGGAACCACTAAGGAACAATCTTCAAAATGTACCACGGGAGAATGCCATACCTTGTGAAGCTCTCAAATTCTGTCCATTATTAAGCAAAATATATGAGAGACTTGCTTAGATATAAGAATCTAGAAATATAGAGAGCCAATCCCCTAAATCCACTGATGGTGGTTTTCTCAGGGTTGTCCATTTAGGAAGGAACTGAAGACATTTTAAATGATGCTGACAAAACAACACTTATTCAGTACCAGGCACTGTGCTTTTCTGTGCATTACTGATTTCTCACAATAACCGATATGCTTCTCAGTGTGAGGCCCCTTAACATTCATCACTGCTAGAATGAACAACAAAAAACATCAAGGTCATACCTTACCAAGGGATGGCACCTAATTTATTTTCCATTTTAAATATGAAGGTATTGGATCTCAGAGATATTGTCATGCATGG